AATAAGACAAAATGTTACATTTTAAAATCTCCCGTATACATTATATGCAAAAATTTCAATTTGTTATGTGAAACTTGTGATATTAATGTCAGTACAAATCATCAATTTTCTGACAATATTAAATTCACAACAGCTGTCTATAACCACATATTCAAATATATTTTTTATATTGTTTGTTTAGTCCTTTAAGATTGGAAATTTTATGATATATTATGTGTTTTTTTATTTAGGTATATTTCTCCAGTAACTGGATTTACAATCTGTTGAGCAATAAACATATATTGTCATTATTGTTAGACATTCTTAGAGAGCATAGCTTAGTTATAAAACTAATGATATTAGGTAGGTAGTATAAAAATAGATGAACTCATCCTGTTTAATTATCTCTATAATTTTAATTCAAAATTGTTACATTTTTATGATGTTCATTGAGTGTTGTTTCAAGTTCTGACGAAAATTCACTAATCCGCGAAAAATACCGTACCTATTAGAGCAACTTTACAAACCACAAAATTTGTTACAGTTAATGATTTTGGATGTACCTTTTTTCCTCAACTCTTCGTTATGTTTTTGAATGTTTGTCCAATAAGCGAAATCAAATTAAGCCTGTATGTTACCAAATAATTTTCATGGCTTTTATATTTTCGTCTAAATGCGGATCCTTTATATCCGTTTCTCTCCAGATTCGTCGTAATTAATACCGAACAATACACACGTAAAACAAAAAAAAAACCTTTCTTTCGGAACAGCCACAAACCCAATTATTCCGAGAATATGTGTTTTATATGCTTTTCTATGACTGCCTAGCTGAAATAAGTCAGGGGGACGACAGCCTTCCTTTACTCTTAACTGTTGGTGACAATTAAGTTTGCGAAAATTAGTTTCATCCAATTTAAATAAAATTTATATTTAAACTAACAATTCAGATCTAAATTAGTGGAAGAAAAGCAATGAAACGCAACCACCCCTTTTCAACCGATACTAATGATACTAAGTCCAGGTTCTGTGCGAGATGCAGCTATTTGATGGTCTTTAAGGTGATATTAGAAGCGAGTCTGATAGAGCTTCGGTTTATTCCGCCATTCAAATTCACAAGTTTTTTTTATTGCACTTAATTTGAAAGGACTTAAAACTATCTGTACAGCTGTACTGTATACAAAAATTGATAATTATAGTCTGAAAATGAAAGAGTGTAATAAAACTCCGAGATAAGAACCGGCCATGGGCGTGGTAATATTTCGTTTCAGGTAATTATCGGGTAACACTAATGCTAACAAAAATGACAGGGATTGGAAAATCGACGGATTTTTAAAGGAAACAAAAAATGAACAAGATACTGTAAATCCCCCAAAATCATCTACAGGGAGGTCAAAAGTCGTTATAGATGATTTCTTCAAAAATGTCATTCGCAGAAAAGTACACTCATTTTATTTTAAAAAAGAAATACCAACGCTAAACAAAATTTTAAGTGAACTTTCAGAGGACAACGATTTGCCAAAAATCAGTAGAAGCAAATTATGGGCCGTCTTACGAGAGTTGAATTTTTGCTGGGAAAAGCAGAACAGGAAGTCAGTTCTTATCGATAAAGATGAAATTATTTGTTGGCGAAGATCCTACTTAAGATCAATTAGAAAATTCCGTGACGAAGGGAGGAATATTTATTATCTAGACGAAACTTGGGTCAACGAGGGATATACTGTAACAAAAGTATGGCAAGATAAAAATGTAAAAAGTTTTCGACAAGCATTTTTGGATGGACTTTCAACAGGGTTCAAGGCACCTTCAGGTAAAGGGCGAAGATTAATAGTGACACATATAGGTAGTGCCAGTGGTTTTGTAGATGGCGGTTTACTTTTATTTGAATCTAAAAATACAGGTGACTATCACGAAGACATGAACGCAGATGTTTTCGAAGAGTATTTTACACAGATGTTGGATCTTATTCCTCCGGGGTCTGTAATTGTCATGGATAATGCCAGTTACCATTCACGGCAGACCGAGCGGACGCCTACGACTGCTTGGAGGAAAGCCGATATAATTCAATGGTTATCCGGAAAAAACATTTCTTTTGAAACAAATATGGTGAAAAAGGAACTTTTGACACTTGTCAATCTTAATAAAGATCAGAAAAAATATGTTATCGATGAAATGGCAACAAATCGCCAAATAACGGTACTACGGTTACCACCTTATCACTGTGAACTTAACCCAATCGAATTAGTCTGGGCGCAGGTAAAAGGAGATGTAGCGCGAAATAATACGACGTTTAAATTAAGTGACGTGAAAATTTTGTTAAAAAATTCCTTGGAACGAGTAACTGCAGATAACTGGCAAAGATGTATACATCATGTACAAAAAGAAGAGGAGAAAATGTGGGAACTCGATAATTTAATTGACGTTACTGTGGAACCTATCGTTATCAATCTAGGAGACGAAGATAATTCATCAGAATATTCAGAGGATGAATTTTAATATACCTACTTTTTTATTTTCTTTATTGTACATTTATACAACACTACATTTACTCACCATAATTTGAATTTTCAAAATACATATATTTTTGTGTGGAATAAAAGTCTATTCATTAAATTTAAATAAATATTTTGATAATAATATTGAATAATTTTATTTGAATTACTAAAAACCCTCTTAACCCGGTTATGATGCTTAAAGTAGCCTCATGTTTTGAAATGCTGTTTTTATATTGTTTACTTATAAGAGAAATGGACCGAGAAATTGAAGCGGCATAGACAAAGACGGATTGTCGGGGATTAAATTTTAGCTACCTGCTACAATTTAGTACAGTCCGATCGCACAAAGTTTTTTTAAAAGTACCCCTCATCTACACCGAAAAAGCATAATATAAAAATATTGAATATAAGCACCAGTACTACATTTATTTACGATTTGCATACATAATAAGCATTTATTACTCTCTTTCATTTCTAAACAGACTATAGGCGGATAGTAGGTACCTAATTGTTAATCGGTTTGTAATGATTATTTTGAACTACGCCATAAAATCCCACTTGGGAACTTCTATCAAATATATAGTTTCAGCAGACAATTTATATAAAACTTCGATTTCCAAGAAATGAGGCGATGCAAGATCGCCTTGTTAAGAATATTCATTACATTGTTAGAATCCAAATAGATTAAAATGAAGTAAACTATTATATATAGCTGCTAGATTAGTTATTAGATATTATTAAACAGTCTTATTTTAGATATTTTCTATTAATAGAAGCTAAACAGAGAATTAAATTTCTCATTTACAAGAAACGGTATATATTAGAATTAAACAGCTGATATAGCAAATATGATATGCCTAAATAGATCGCCCGGCATTAGGCAGCGGCGTATCATTTATTGAGCAAAATAGGCCTTTACTTGAGATCCCACCAATGAGGGACTCAACTAAGTTGTAGTAATAGAAGCTGAAATTTTTCTAGGAATGGCGAAAAAAATTAACCTTTCAAAGAGGATTCATTATTTCTATAATTTGCCAACAAGAATATACAGGGTGTCCCTGAAAAGGATCGACAACGCTTGGCCACAGGTTCCTTGGATGAAAATAAGACTATTTAGCCTTCTAAATATAGAACAGACAACCTAGTTTTTTTCAAATAATTTGAAAACTGTTTTTCTTAGAAACTTCAAATGTGGTATACATATTTTTTTATATAAGGAAAATGGAACTATAGAATTTGTTAAGAATACATATACAGGATGTTCTCTTTCTAGTGACTGTGCGCCACTGGCTATCCCGTAACTTTTTTGTTTGTACGCCAATGAAGACAGAATTTATATTTTTAAAAATAAGCACTATTTTACAAAATTTTACACCCTAAAATCAGTTTAAGGTAATTAGATTAGATTTCCTAATTGAAGAATTCCAAGTCACAAAACATTTGCTAATGCGTAGAGACGCCTTCAGGAAACAGGACGTTTTTTACCTGTAACATTAAATCGTGGATAACGTACGGCCGGAACTATTCAGCTGGAGGAACAAATTTTGGCACGGGTCGAAGAAATTCCTCAAGTAAATACGAATACAAGGCGTTTAGCGGCTGAGGTTGGCTTTCAAAAAGTTCCGTTAATAGAGTATTAAAAGACCAGTTATTACAGCTTACTATACTAACAGGTGGATAGGTAGAGGAAATAATGCCTCTTTAAAATGGCCACCTCGAGCCCCGGACCTAAACCCATGTAATTATTTCCTTTGGGGAGCGTTGACTACCACAGTTTATAACTTTTCAGTAAATACAGAAAACGAAAAATGCGAAAGAATACAACATGAAATTAATGTTATGAGAGTTAATGCACAATTATTGGATAACATTCATTGTAATTTTCGAAGAACTAATGCTTGCGTTTAAGAACAAGGAAGTCACTTTGAGCATTTACTGTAATATTATTTTAATGTGATTACAAATTTAGGTTTATTTAAAATGTTATAGTTGACTTTCTTACATTATTAGTTGATATTGTTTATTTAAAATATTAGTGTTGATTTTTATTTTATTGATTGATAATACTAAGAGTAAAAATGTGTAGTTATTTTTTTTTAAAGTGGCGTTTTATGTATTCTTTATTTACCTAATTTATTTCGAGGACGCAACTCTTATTGAATATGGCCTATTCTATACCAAACACCCTGTAAGTCTCATATTATTTATACAGGGTCGGAAAGTCCCCATGGTTCATCGGCCGTTACGTGAGAGCGATAAAGAAAGTCATAGAAATCCGTGCGATAGAGAAAGATGGCTATAATGAAGGCGTCTAATAGTCACCGCCCATTTCGCCCTTCCACAAATAACATCTACTTCTTATTTGTGAAAGGGCGAAATGGGCGGTGACTATTAGACTCCTTCATTATAACCATTTTTCTCTATCGCATGGATTTCTATGACTTACTTTATCGCTCTCACGTAACGGCCGATGAACCATGGGAACTTTCCGACCCTGTATAAGTAAGCAAATAACTTCTTCTATTTCAGAACTTAATATAATCGAAGAAGATGTTAGTCGCCCTTGCGCCGATTTTAGAATAGGAGATGACGACTTGCAAGCATACGACTTCATCAGACAATTCCGACTGGACCTTTTGGAAACCCAGTATCCAGGAGTGTCCAGAGTTAGGGGCACGAATCGACTGCAAACAGCCTACAGACTGGACAAAGACGCTGATCTAACTTTGCCAACGAGGTTTACTGTTTATAAAATAGGCCATTCTAATGCAGAACTAGTTAGGAAAACGTTTGTACAGGAAGTTTGTTTTTATGTAATATCTTCAGCGACATTTTCTGTGCTTCTGCATTTTAATTGTTTAACTTGGTGGTGTGGTAAACCGTACTATCATAAGCGCCGAATCCGCGAGGCTTGGAGTGCTCGAGCAGACCGAATTTGCTTTCAGACTCGGACATATCAAACTGAAAGGGGCAGCCTTGTGAAGAGTGTACAGTGTTTTGAAATCTCTAAAAAATATTAGGTATTAAATTTATTGTTACACACTTAGCAATCAATAGAAAATGATAAATAGCAAGGCAGGTACTTAAGTATCTTCTTATTTGGTTTCCCAATTATCTAAAGACCAATAAATTTTACGAATACTTTACAAGAATACTTTATTGTCACAAATTGATTGTACATTTTAAAAACATTTAAAATTATTTAAAAAACCAGTGGCGTACGATTTTTTTTCAAAAAAGGTCCCCTACATTCGCCAATAACTACGCCACTGGAGAGTACTTTGGAATAAGTTATCCATGAAAAAATACTTGATTATTTTCACCGGTAGAATATGCCTTTAAAGTTTGACAAAACTTATCATTAACACACTGTATAGCAATAAATTGACTACAAAATTGATCGTAACTTTTTTATTTACAGCTTTTTTAAAAATCTAAGACCTTAAGGATTATTAAAAAATTAAAAAAATTAAAAAATCTTATAAAAAGGTTATCTTGCAAATAGATAGAAATAATTTTAAATCATTAAAAGAAACAGAACTTGAACTTATGATTAAAATTAAGTTCTACAAGCACAGTTATAAAAATTAAAATCTACCAAATCATCTTCAATTAATTTTTAAAAATTGTAAAATTTAAGAATATTTTATCGACATGGAGAAAGACAACCTTTTTGTAAGCTTTTTTAACGTTTTGTAATATGAAGTTTAATTTTTTGGAAAATCTTAAATAAAAAAGTCTTGCTACTATGAATCAGGTAAACTGTTAGACCATTAGAATTTTAATGATTGATTGATTAATGAAAGTGTCCAAAACGAAAAAAAAATTTGACTGAAAGAAGATATGACAAAATACTAATTAAAAAGTTACTTTAAAGTTATGGAACCACAATAACATTTTGAGTTTTCGAAAAAATGTCTTATAGGATCTTATAAATAGGCTCTTTCTATTCAAAGTTCCCAGATACTCATTATAGTCAAAATTAATTTATATTTAACAGTTTTATAGAAAGAAATTTTTTATAAATAAAAACTGTAAAAAAACATTATTCTTACTGTTATTTGTGTTAGAAGCGCCGCCTCTGTACACATTAATTATATGACAGTATTAACCTTTTCATTTTTATCTTCGGCGCCTATGCATAGTATTAATTAAATAATTAACACAGTTGTTTCGTAGAATAGTACCAATACATACCCCCGAAACGGGTCGATTTTGTTTTCAACGGGGACATCTTTTAATAACAAATTCATAGATATAGGACCATCCTCCTAAACAGGGTGGCAACCCCTTCAAGAATCTTAAATGGCACGAAGGATTAAGTGGCACATCATTTTAATGGTAGGTATTTCAATTCTCTTTACAAACATGTTGACATTTTTTTGTTCTGCCTTGAAATTAATGTAAAAAACCTGTTGGAAGTGTAGGTGAAATAAATGGAAAAAAAAGTGTTCAAAGCCATTTAATTCCATACAGTAATAAAACCTTTGTTCAACATTTTCCCGAACATTTTGTTGCATTTCGGGGGTTATTTATCATCACATGCTACCACAATTCAATAACGAAGATCTTCTAAAGAGGTAGATTTCGTTTCATAAATAACACTTTTAAATGACCCTATAAGAAAAAGTCAAATGGTGTTAAATCAGGCGATCTTGGGGGCCATTCAATGAAACCTCTTCTACCAATCTAGTGTTCGGGAAAATGTGGATTTAAAATGTCACGTACAGCAGCTGCATAGTGTGGCCGAGCGCCATCCTGTTGAAAAAATATGTCATCCTCTGGGATCTGATCGTCCTTTTCAAGATTATCCACAATGCGAAGGTAGATGAAGTCTTGAAGTAAATTGGGGTAAGATTCACCCGTAAGTTATTAGAAAAAATGGAACAACAATATTATTTCCCAAAATCCCAGCCCATAGATTCAATTTTTCTGGATACTGTGTGCTGTTCTCTCATAACTTCAGGATTTGAATCACTCCTGTATCTGCAATTATGTATGATGACGTAATCTCTAAGAAAGAATATGCATTCGTCAGAATAGCATGTACAATATAAAAAACTGAGATTGTTCAAAATTGTTTCACTCATCTGTTCACAACATTGTATCGAGTATAGTGATCTGGATCATCTTCATTGAGCTCTTTCACGAGATAAATCTTATAGGGATGGAATCGATGCTTGTTCAAGATCGTCAGAAGACTACTACGTGGAATTCCTGAAGTTGCTTCTAATTTTCTGGTGCTTGAAGTGGGATCCAATTCAACATGTTCTAAAATTGCAACCTGTGCAGCCTCGTCAGTAACAATATGTTGCCTTTCATGTTTTTTGTTAGCAATGAATCCAATCTCTATGAATTTACGTATTACGTAGGAATGGCTGAGATTCTTACCAGGATGCCTTTCATTAAAAATTCTTGCTGTTACCCGGGCCATTTCATTATTTCGAAAATAGAGAGTGACAATTTCAATTCTCTCTGCAGTGGTGTAAACCATGATAATTTAAATCGTTTGCTTCAAAATAGCGAATAATAACAACTCAATGGATTTCACAACCTAGACTCCTAGACAACTCTGATTGATGTAAAATCGAAACAAAGCTACAAGTAAATTTCTAATAAAACCCATCAAGACTTCGATTATAAACCTCATAGTTTCATTATCCGGTGAGTTTTTTTATTACTACTTTAAGTCTTGATGATGACGTCCCCCCTTGAAAAGAAAATCGACCTGTTTCGGGGTTTTCCGGAAAAACCTGTTACATTGAAAATATTTCAGGTGGACTGTACTGTAATTGGGCTACCCTGTATATTTGGTGTAAGGTATTATTATACTAAATATAGGTATTTAGGCACCTACTATAATTTTCGAAGTTCTTTTCAGGTTCTGAATAAAATACTTACATACATAATTAGAAGAAATGTTGCATCAGGTAGAAACATTGTTCTACTCATAAACATTTTTTTTATTTCGGAATTTTCAAACTAGTTCTATATTAGAGTGGTGGGTTAGACTAATACCAATTTCATGTAATAAATTAACAAAGTGTTTCAATAATTTACTAATTTTTCTATGTATATAAAAAAAGTTTTAAAAAATTTTCGCCCAACGTGGGGCTCGAACCCACGACCCTGAGATTAAGAGTCTCATGCTCTACCGACTGAGCTAGCCGGGCTTATTATACAAATTTCTAATAGTTTTATTTCAATTGAATGCTTTAATAGTTTTTATATAATTTTAGAAATATATTTCCATTGGGGTTACCAGATCAATTTTCATTCATTACAACATTTCGCATTCGAAGATTGCCTAAATCTAAATGGCATATAATAAGGGTCACTGATTTGGAATTCAATCCACAATTTTTAATTTCGTTAAATCCAAGCAACCAAACTATCGAATTTTCCATAGCGAATTATGAAGGAAGGTTACAGACAGTTGCTTTTGATAATCCTCAGGTAAGTTTTGAGAGACGTATCGCGCTATCTTCAGGAAAATCTGTGATGAAATTTATATTAGTTCAATTTCGATAAATGTGTTCTTTAAATATTTGATTTTTTCTCTTAACTATATACTACAAATAATAATCAAAATATTTTTATTACTACGTACTTTTTAAATTACTCAATTATGTATCTGCATGATTTATACAGTTCTTCTTCGAAAAACGCAAAGTAATTTAGAAGGTCCTGTGGCGCAACGGATAACGCGTCTGACTACGGATCAGAAGATTCCAGGTTCGAATCCTGGCAGGATCGCTCCTTTTTTATTTTTTAATTTCCAGGTTTTCGATAAAAATTGGCATAAAATACATTTCGGCGTTTCTAGAGAAAAAGTAATGTTGTATGTTGACTGCAAAGAACTCTCAGAAGAATTTTTACAACCTAGGGGTGAAATCGATGTAAATGGAGAAATATCAGTCTCCAAACTAGCAAATTCTAGAGAAACAGTTCCGGTAAGTCTAACTGACACAGCTAATAATGTGTAATTGATACTAAATATAATTGAAAGAAAAAAACAAAAATTTTCTAGATATACTGGATTAATAATTAAAATTTTAACACCTCTGCCAATAAAAAGCTATTATAAAATTTTATTAAACCACTGTATTTTTATGTATAGCACTACCCATAACTAATTCTAATATCTACTATTTTTTTAACAGCGTTCGATACCGGTAAGTTACTATTATTATTATATAAATCAAGTAATAATTATATTTTATTATAAATTAAACTTACACCTATCTTTACCACAATTTATTAACACAAACTATATAAATATATAAATACTCTTTAATAAAATCGTTCCTACACATCCTCGGTAGTATAGTGGTCAGTATCCCCGCCTGTCACGCGGGAGACCGGGGTTCGATTCCCCGCCGGGGAGGATTTTTTTTTTAAATATATTGTACATTTTTTTTTATACATTTTAGATTGATCTTCAATGGATGGTTATGAGCTGTGATCCTACAAGACCAGAAAGAGAAACGTGCTTAGAATTACCGGTAGGTTGACGTTTGTTAATTTTTAAAGTAAAATTTCGCTTCATAAAGTTAATACTCTTCGTAAAACTTGTATATATTATTTATCATAATTTCTTATTTTTGTTTTTTAGAAATTGAAGCCTACACCGAAGCCCCCAGAAGTAACACCACCCACTTGTGACGTAGTCTGTCCTCAAGGACCACCGGGCCTGAACGGAACAGATGTAAGTAAATTCTTTTTAAAATATGCTTCATTATTTTTTAACTGACAATATAGAGGAAAACAACTCATCTGCGGACTAATGCTCCGACCAGCACAGATTTACATTCGCAATATTTAATAAACTATCTGACGTATATAAAGACTTGAGCATTGAGAAGCAATGGCCATTCATGGGAATAGCACTTTGTTATATCTCACCCATCTTTGAAAAGCTGAGACAACTTTTGTATCCCTTCTACCTACAACTTTTTATAATGAATACGATTTTATTTGATTTATTTTATATTTATATTTCGCTGTGTTTATTTTCCATGTTTTTATCAACATATTCTATATGAATAAAAAAAAGAGGAAAAGAAATTGTGGCTAAATTTAACATTATCTTTTTGCATGCAAATGTTTCCACTATTCGATCTTTACTGATTTGAAGTTTTAGATAATTTTATTGAAAAGAGATGCCTTTGTATCACTTCTATAAATTGCATTGTTTGGGGATAAAAATTATTCCATGCCACACGAATATGCTTTCTAAAATGGAAAACATTTGAATTGATAAATTATAAAAAAATAGAAGTATCCATTATTTATAAATTTTATTGAATTTGGAGATAATAATTTTGTACAAAATATAATGATTTTCAGTTCCAAATTACAAATAAAATGTGTTTGTTGAATTATTTTCCTTAAAAACTATTTATAAGTTGCTATATTTTTAAAACATTAATGATATTTTTGTTTTCTCATTTTGATGTTTAATTACCAATAAATGCTTACAAAACTTATTGTCTATAGTCATCTTTAGGAGGCATCTTTCCATCTAAAAAAGCAAAATATTGCTGACCAAATTTGGCAGCCTGTATACTCAGACTAATTTCTTAATTAAAATCTTTTATTATAGTCTTTATAAATGTAAAGTGTATGTAAGTTTTCCAAATGCAATGTAAATCTTAAACAAATAAATTAGAAAAAGCACAATACAATGCCGAATGAATATAGATAAATAAAAAATTTGAATTCAAAATTAAAAATGTTTTAAAAAATTCAAATGTATGCCAAAAAGCAAATTATTTTATACCTTTTAAAATGAAAAACATTGGTATTCCCTTTAGGTTTAAATTTGTTTTAAATTGAATTTGTGTTTGCAACAAAGGGTTTACCTGGACCACCTGGAGAATTAGGGCCCCCAGGTCCACCAGGAAGAGTAGGTCTTCCAGGACCTAGAGGAGAAAGGGGTTTACCTGGAATACCTGGTTATTCAGTATGTTTATGACCAGAAATATTACTTATTGCCAGTAATCAATAAGCTAATAGCTTTTATTACTAGACTAAACTAACAGCGATTGTACAAACTTTAACTATGAATCAGTTTTTCCCTCATAGATGGTATCTAACAGATGGAAGAGATTTAACCTTTGTAATATAGGGCTCACAAGCTGTGGAATGTAACTTACTAATCCAAATAACAACTGTTGATAGGGTAGACCAGGACCTAGAGGTCCGATTGGTCTCATTGGTGAACCTGGAATACCCGGATCAATAGGACCCTCTGGACCAAGGGGACTCATTGGACTAAGAGTATGTGTGTTACTTTATGGTATAAAAAAATAAATTTTTAGCCTAGCTCTTACCACTATGTAGTAAAATATGAATTAAATAATAAGTATCTACACACATATAATTTTACCACAATTGAAATAAAATCTTGGCAGGGTTAACAATAGGTAAATTGGGAGGATATGATATTAACTACCGACAACACTTCTAATACACATCATGCACCATTGTGGAGTATAAATCACCTTCCCCATACTTCAACTTTCCCTGATTATCATACACTAACAAGTTTTAGTAAACTAACAACTGACATTCACATTATTTTATAAATAGCATCCTAAAAATTAGTATATACATACCTAAAAAATTTTTTAAATATTCTAATGCAAGGAAATTGCTACTTCAACTGCTGTTACAATCTTTTTTATTTGCACTTTTCATTATAATTGGAATTTATATTCACATTTCTTTGAAATGCCTCTCGTACATATAAAATTTAAGGATTTCAAACAATTTTTTTGATGAAAAATATTAATTTTAATCAATATATTAAATCAAATCTTTGGGAATTCTGCTTTACGTATTATACTAAGATTTGGTATCATCCTAATTGACCAAAATGAAATATAAATGTCTTACTTGATAGGGGAACGTTAATATGTATAAACTGCTTCAATAGGGAAATCCAGGATTACAAGGATTGCCTGGAATGAAAGGTGTGCAAGGAAATCCCGGAACATCGGGAATACCTGGAAAAGATGGCAGTCCGGGGCCAAAAGGTGACAAGGTAAATATGTTTTTAAAAAATATTTCATTGAATCTACTAACAATAAATTGCTTTATATTTATATTTGTCATTCAGTGTGTCCCACGATTGTGTCTATTTTTTTTTAAGTACCTGCCCCCATTATAATTAACAATACATTTTGCCTTAATATATTAATAAATAAATTTAAATAATATCCACCATATTTATGGAAAATAATACTAGATAGTTAAAATTAAAAGTTTTTATACTTACTAATTATACTCAAACGAAAACTTTTCTATTAACCAAATGGTTAACTAATGTTTTTCTTTCACCATGTGCGTCCATGCAAACTAAAAACTATTTATTTTTCTAGGGCGATTCTGGCCCACAAGGACCAAAGGGAGAGAAAGGAACAGATGGCACTCCAGGACAGCCAGGAATAGAAGGACCACCTGGACCAACAGGCCCTCCAGGGCAAACTGTCGTCAGTAATGATGAAATTGTTCAAGGACCTCCAGGACCTGTAGGACCTATAGGTCCACCTGTAAGAAATAGAAATTTACTACATAAATCTTCTATGGTGTCACATATTAAACAAAATTATATTTAAATGCTATAGATTATTAAACAATGGCTTTCATTTTCAGGGTTTTCCTGGAGATGAAGGTCCAAGGGGAGTTCCTGGAGAACCTGGACTTCGTGGGTTTGATGGCAAAGATGGAAGACCTGGTTTTAGAGGTCCCAAGGGAAATAGAGGGGAACCAGGGATTCCAGGAGAAAATGGACTACCTGGACCAATTGTGAGTATCAAATCGAAATGTTACGAGTATTTATGTTTATTTCTCCTTCCTTGAAAACTAGGGTCCAGCTGGTCCTCCTGGTCCTCCTGGCAGCCCTGGATTTGAGAAAGGCACTACAGTCAGTGTGCCTGGCCCTCAAGGACCTAGAGGAGAACCTGGATTGCCTGGTATACCTGGTTTGAAAGGAAGCAAAGGAGATGAAGGAGAACAAGGAGAAGAAGGGTCAAAAGGAGAAACAGGTGATAAATATTTTCTGTTCTACTAAGTACCTATAAAAATATATATTTTTCTGGATGCGCCACTAACTTGAGGAACTCTCAAAAGGTGCAGAAATTGACCAAATTTAGTAAAAGGATAAATAGTTTAAAATTGTTGTTCAACAAAATACATCTGGTAACTATTATATATTGTTACCAAAATACTTATTATTAAATTTAAAATGTTCTTATTTAGAATAAAAAAAAATCAAATGTTAAAAATAACCAGTATCAAAGTTTTATCAAAATATATATATTATTTTTTCAATATTACTATTTACTTAGGGCCGATTGTATCAACATTGTTACATAATGGAGCCATTTGCGCTCCCGCGTACAATATATTTCCTTTTCGTGACGATACGATAACTGACAAACGATCCTAGCTGTTGCACTAGGTGTTGCGAGTATAATTCAATGCCGGTAGGGGCAAATAGCTCTCGGAGTAGTTGTTTCTTGCAACACTGACAATTCAAACATTGTGTTACGCCCTCTGTGGGTAGCAGTCGTGCAACAAAGTACCTGCAGTTAGCAGGTCGCTTCCTACTGTAGCCATTTGAATGGCACAGTTGGGAGCCCGCACGACAGATGGAGCCATTTGCGCTCCCGCGTACAATTGTTACATAAATGTTAAGTTTCACTTAAATTGAAAACTAATTTTTGTGTGCTTAGAAAAATGTACTAGAAAGATGGAAAAAAGGTTTTCTTAAACTTAAAACAGTGTTCAAAACAAATGTAGAACACATATAAAGAATTATTTTGCGGTTTAAATGGAACTTAATAACATTTAAGTAATGCTGGTACAATCAACAGTATGCATTACAATTTACAAAATAGACACATTCATAAGAAATAAATGTTCCTAGGTAAAAGAGGTTTGTCTGGAGTACCTGGTTCAGAAGGACCTAGAGGGCCACAAGGAAAAGAAGGTCGCCCTGGTCCAGAAGGACCTAGAGGTGAACCAGGATTCATAGGACCTCCGGGTATTCAAGGAGCAACAGGACTAATTGGCTTGCCTGTAAGATATTTTATCCTAAGAACTAATTATTTGTATTAAGACATCCAATAAATCAAATAACAAAAATTAATTACTTGCATAATAGAGTGATCTTGTTACTAAATTCAAACTTCTTCAAGAACATATTCAACAAAATATTATTTATTTTAGGGTCCGTCTGGGTCCCCTGGCTCGCCAGGCCTCCCCGGCCAAAAGGGAGAAGGTGGTTATCCTGGACCTCCTGGTTTACCAGGAACTGCAGCGGCAGCTGGTGACAGGGGACCACCTGGACCACCTGGAGAAACTGGAGTTGCTGGTGAAACAGGAGAAAAGGGAGAAAGGGGATTTCCTGGGTTACCTGGACCTCCAGGACAAATTGGACCACAAGGTGTTCAGGGACCAGAGGGCATTCCAGGGAAAACTGGAGATTCGGTAAATTAATAGTTACTACAAATATATTTGACTCATAAATATTTCTGTTTATTAATTTAACAAAATAATTAGGGTGCCCCAGGGTTACGAGGAGAACCAGGTCCAAGAGGATTTGATGGGCCTCGTGGTCAACCAGGGTCGGATGGAATTGTTGGACTACCTGGAAAATTAGGAGAAAAAGGAGATAGAGGAGACAGTGGCTTATCAGGTCCGATAGGACCTAGAGGATATCCTGGTAATGCTGTAAGTATTAATTATATTAATTTTAAAATTAAATTAACCAGTAATTATTTACCTATTACTTAAACAGTGTTACAAATGCGTTTATTTCCGAGACATAGGGTCAAAAATAAAAAGAGATAAATGTATTTTTAAGACTTTAAGTTGCAATTTTGAACAGGTAAAAAAATTGGAAAAGGAGATCATTGACTCCCTATACTTGTCCTGCATATGCCTATGGTTTACAGATATTTTTTTTAGATTAGATATTTCCTTCTATTTTGTTAATTCTTGAAAATTCTTTTTAGATTTAGATGTAGATATTATAACTTATTCGGATATATTACTGCTCTTTTTTTTTTGTTCTAAACTAGGCTTAAGATTTGATATTCTTAAAAAAACTATGTATTTTGGTGTACTAATTTTAGTCAAAGTTTTAGTTAAATATGTTTTCCTAGTTTACTTCTAATTTTAAACTTGATTAATTTATTTTCTATCACACGCGCTCGCTATGGGACCTATAGCATAGGGGGTTATGTGCACGAAAAGTGCCAGATAGTACAACGGCGTGTTGGAGCGTTGCGCTATGAAAATAACATCACGCCCTTGTACTATCTGGCACTGTCCGTGCACATAACCCCCCTATGCTATAGGTCCCATAACGACTCGCACTTGTGATAGAAAATAGTATGTGCAACTCATTCGGAAAAGTTGCCATAGCGCCACTTGGGCGCTTTCCACTGCGCCCACGTGGCGCTATTGGCAACTTTTTTTCACTCGTTAGTCTCGTTACACAATGTACTATAAATGAGACTCTCCTTTTGCTTCATTCATACCTACTTATATTTTTTTACCAAAATCATATGAGATTTATCAGCTTATAGAAGTCTTTACACAACGTCATATCTTAAAAAGCAAGACTTTTTAATAAAAATCTTTCTTTTTAAATGTAATTTTGATACCCGCGTAAAAAAAAGAAGCATATACAGGGTGTTCCATTTAGCACTCCCGCTGCCAATATCTCCTAAATGAATAAATTTATTTTAGTTCCGGAAATTGGGATTGTTAGGTCCCTCGAATAGCTTCAAATTGTAGCTAGAACTGTTAGTTCAAATATTTCTGTATATATGGTGTGGCGATACTAAAAAAAAGTTTGTTCCCTGGAACGTGGAAATGCAGTCCATCTGAAAGATCGTTAAATTTTGAGTAATTTTTGAAATATAAAGCTTATCCCTGTATCTACGTGTTTTCGAGTTATTTCGACTTCAATATGCAATGTATGATGTCATAGGAAAGTCTATTATTTTATTTAAATCACACTCACACTCACAAAGAATAAATTATAAAAAAAACGAATGATCAACTACAGAAAAAAAAATTGTACAGAGGTAAATCTTCTATAAGGGGCAGAGACAAACCGTATTTTATCAAATGTTATTAAAAAATACAATCATAGGTGGTTCACATCATTTGTTTAAAATAAAACACGTAAGACAGATGACACATATTAGTTTTCCAATAATTACAGTTTTATCAGTTTGCGTCTTTCAATTTAACTACTTATATTAGTTTAAGATTTACCATTGTACATTTTTTTTCCGTAGTTGATTATTTATTTTTTATAATTTATTGTTTGTTAGTTAGTATGTGGTGTGAATAAAGTCATTATAACAATATTTTAAAAGAATATTTTGTCTCGGTGTCATTTAAATAAAATAATAGATTTTCCTGTTACATCATACATTGCATATTGAATCGACATGTCTCGAAAACAAGGAAATATTGGAAAAAACTTTACATTACAAAAATGACTCTAAATTTGACGATCTTTCTTCCAGGGAACAAACTTTTTTAGTATCGCCACGCCATCTATACAGAAAGATTTGAACTAACAGTTCTAACTACAATTTGAAGCTATTCAAGGGACCTAACAACTCCAGTTTCAGGAACTAAAATAAATTTCTTAATTTCGGAGTCTTAAATGGCACACCCTGTATATCAAAAATATCAGAAGATTAATAAGTTCCATCATTTTCTCCAAAAGAATCTATGATTAACGGCTTGACCTATTTCTTTAAACATTCTGAGCAAGCTAGTACAAGAAATGGCATAATTTTAGATTTTTTTTTTGAACTTATTATTGGTCTATTATATTTTCTTATCATTCTCGAGGGACCATCTGGTTTACCAGGCCCAATGGGTCTATCTGGATTACCTGGATTAGAGGGAAAACTAGGTCCACCTGGACCGCCTGGGCCACCTGGTCCTCCTGGGGACATCAGTGGTGTTTCCAACTTGATATTGGGTAGCAGCAGCAGCTCTCCTGGAATTTATGGACCGCGTGGACATCCAGGTCCGCCAGGAATAGTAAGCAAAATATTTTTTATAAATTACTTTATTCCAATCGTGTACTACAAATTAAAATGTACAACATACTTTGTGAATGTATAAACAAGAATATATTTTTTTGAGATTTTAATTTAATTTGCTCGTAAATTTTATTTCATTTAAAAAAATAGCCTGGTGAGAGGGGTGCAGCAGGAGACAGAGGACCAGAGGGTCCCAGTGGTACACCAGGATTGCCTGGAAAAGAAGGTCCATCGGGTTTACCTGGACCACCAGGTCAAAATGGTCAGCCGGGGATGCCTGGAGTACCCGGACCTCCGGTATGAATTATTTTCCTATTATATTTTGTTAAATACATACGTTTTTTTACTGGATGATGAAGTAAATAATAGATTATCTAAGATATGTGATGCACAACTAAACATGTTAATAAATTTTATCATAAATTTAACTTAAATTCGCATAATTTTCTACCCTTTTTATCTGGTAAAGAATCAAGTTTTAGGGAATTTTTTTTAATTCATCATCGCATTTCAAAGGTGTAAACCAAACTTTTGTTATTTAAACAGAACAGAACAGAATTTAAAGATTGCCACATAACCACAGCAGGACTATATTTCCTGTTGTTAAATCTACTAAATAAAACTAAATTCAATGTTAAGAAAATATATCTTTTAGTATAAAAGGTGTTTTATATAGTACCTTCATACTTCATCCTATTTTTGGCAAAGTATACATATTCCAAGCAGGGTTTCTTTTTTGAAAATTTCTCCATCTGTTTAGATCTTCGAAATGTCACCTGTAATTTATACAGGGTGTTTCAGAAAACATGGGCCAACGTTCACGGACAGATTCCTAAACTAAAAACAAGATTATTTTTTCATATCAACACGGAACACAGGTCCGATTTCGCTACAGGGTGTCAAAGTTTTAAAATATAATATGTTTATTCCAAAAATATAGATTTCCACTTGAGGGAATTAAATGAAATTTGGACAACTAACTATTTACAACCAAATACACATTCCTATCCTAGGTATTATTATGAGCCCTTTTCTTTTATTCATGATTTCGGAATCATAACGCGTTACGATCTGATGGAAACCAATCAGGTTGCTAGATTTTGGATCGTAACGCGTTATTATGACTCTGAAATCATGAATAAAAGGAAACGGCTATGTTGAACTGTTGAACATGAATTACAGGACCGGACTTACTTGCAAGCCCTTGGATTTAATCAAAGAAAAAATTGGTTTAAAAAAGGTTTAATATTTTATTTTAAAACTTTGACACCCTGTTCCTAAGGAACGAAGAGAAATCGGATCCATGTTGATATGAAAAAATAATATTGTTTTTAGGTTAGGAATCTACACCCGAGCGTTGGCCTATGGTTTCTGAAACACCCTGTATATGACTTTGATGCAAGAAAATTTTGCAAAACTTTTTTTACCAGTTTCTCCTAAACGGAAAGGTAAAAGAGATAAGGGAGTAGAATATTAAGCAAATATTATACAATGATAAAAAAATAAATGGGTATATTTAGCAACTAAAAGGTTGAAATAATTTTTGTTTAGTAATGTATATTTATAAGAATGAAAATGAAAATACTTGATAACTGTCATATATATTACGTATTAATATTTAATTCAACAGGGCAGTTTGAAAACAATAAATAAATAAAAATCGATTCGATTAATAACTGAACACCGATTACATAAAACGTTTGGCATTTAATCTTTTTTTATAATGTTGCATATAGAAGAAATATTTAAACATAAATCTTGTGAAGTATATACTATAATTATATTTTGCCATCTATAGTAAAATGTTAAACTACCACAATTAAAATTTTACAATATACATATTATCTTTCTAAATTAATATTCTAAAGACAAAATATTATTTATGACAAAATATTGTTATATAGACATATCACACATACATACATATTTATTTAACATCAGTTCTTTTCTCACAGTTTTACTTTATATTAATGTTCGCTTATTTGACCGCAATTAGTTATATAGTACCTTCTAATTCTACAACTTTAAAGAGACAAAACTGTTTCAAATTTACATATTATTACTTATACCTATACAAATTAATAGGAAATCTTGTGGAATTAAAATAATTAAAAATAGGTTTCAATTTTACAAATTAGCGTTTGTTATTTTTTCATTTGATTTCATGAAAAAACACGTCTTTATTTTAGTAGCCTTAAGGCAGCGTTTGATAACTTAAAATATTTGAAATAATAAAAATTTGCTAGTAAAAATGTGATCTCTTTGTACATATTAGTCTTTATAAAAGAATTATTGAATATTACTTTTAAATTTTAGTTTGCTGTATATTATACTATGATATATCCAATAAAGTATATAATAATAAACAGTCGACTAGTTAAAGAAATACAGAAGATAATGTATGTGTGACATACATTTATTAATACACGTTGATACAATAAAAGAGTAAAAGTCATGTATACTGTACAATAAAATTATAAATCATGGCTTAAAATACTTCATTAACTATAAAACAGATGAAACACCCTCACTTTTTTGTTAATGGTGTAGATGTTAACTTTCTGATGAGTGGTCCGTGTAACTTTGAACTTAAACTTATCTTGGCAAAAGCTGGGGTAGAATATTTATTTCGACACGTTTGATGTTTGGAAGTTTCGGCTTTTGCAATTAAATGGGCCAAGTCAACAATTGTGCTTTTGATGTCGGAATATTTATAGGTAGTGTAATGAACTAAAGTTGGCGTCCAGATTTTTGATAAATCCATTATTTCATTTAATATTCCAATAGACAAACAACAGGCTGCTGCCGCTTGGATCGAGGGTCGGATATGGCTCATATCATACTCCAGAAGAGCTAGTTCCAGTAAATACTTCCCCAGAGCGTGATGGTCACTTCTAACTTGAGCAATTTTATTATAGCGCCTCAGAAAATGTAATGAGATAGGGCGTCCTAAATTAAAATCAAGTTTTTCCAAAATGTCCCTTTCCATTTGAACAATCTGTCGTTTCGAAAAAATCTCATCACAAATGTAGACATAATCATCTAGGTCAGGCCAATATGTTTCTTCGTATTTACTGGCGATAATCATTGCCGTAGTCCCGACCAACTGCAGAGTGGCACGACCAATATTTTTGTTCTCTTGCAAATACCGGTCAATAATTGCTATACACAAGAATAAAGTTTCAGCAAATAACTTAAAATTCGTATGAACCTCTATTAGCCAGTTCACAAGTATTGCACGCATTTTTGGTGACGATTGATGACCTTCTAAGTAATGTTTCTTTATTGGAAATTTACATTCCAGCTCTAGCAAATAATTGAATATATCTGTTATATATTCAGTTACCATTTGAGGATCATTCTTGGTATTCTCGTCAGGGTCAATAATAGATATCTGTTTTGAAGAATATGACTTACTGGACTCAGTCACTTTGTCTCTCTCAAGGTGAATATTTTTTAATAAACTCTCCTGTCGTTTTATCGGAGGCTTAATAATATTTGGATTTTGCGATTTTTCTTGCAGAGCATTCTCTTTTCTTGTGACAGTCTTCTTCGGTAATGCTTGTGGTGGGCCCATAACGCCACCTTTTTTTGCCACGCCATTATTATTACTATTTACATTGGAAAGTTTATTAGCTTCACTCAATTTAACATCACCTAAAGCTGCTCTTTTGGGAACAGTTCCTCTTGGAGGTATAACAGCCTTTGTAGCTACTTTTGCATGCATGTTTTCTTGATTCAAGGAATTTTCTACAGTACGATGTCTTAGGGCCATCTTGAAATGAAATAAATAGTATTAAAATAACTGTATATTAAATAAATAAAGCTTATTATCAGGTTTATCATACATTTATAATTTATGTATGTAGTAATTTTGCAATATTTATCATGTATTTCTACCAGTATTTCTTTCATGTTTATAACTACAATAATGATCTTTAATATAAATAGATTAGAATATAAATCAATTCTCAAGTGAATTACTGAAATTACAAAAATAAGAAGGAAATACAGTGTATAAAGTGTACTTACAGCATATTATTTTTGGAAATACAGTTTTTTAAATTAAACTTGATAAAATTATTTTTAAACTCACATTAATAATTATTTTTATATTTATTTATATCCACATTATCAGATCATTTCTTATGAACTTGTACTTTAAAAAAATAAATAAAATACAACAATTTATTTCATTATTTCTTCAACATTAGAGTACTTTATCTTATGAAGAACTGGTATAATTACTTATTGTTTTTAAACATCTATTATTTTTTAATTACAAAATTATTACTTGTTCTTTATGTCTCAAGATACTAATTAATATTTTAATATTATGTTTTGAACAATACTGCTACTAAATACAAATACAATTAACAAAAAATACCACACAGAAAAACTTTTAAACAAAAACTTTACTTCAACCGCCATAAGAAATGACCGTTATAGTTTTTAAATCAAATTCAAATGCTTCATTCTCTATTTCTTGACTTAATGAACATGGAAAAATAACTGATTTAAACTTACCTTTTAAAATTATATAATACTTTGTAAATTGTCAATAAATAAAAATTTGCAGATTAATTTCAGTCGTTCACTTCACAGTACATGAGTAAAGATTGCTGGCCGCCACCTTTAATTTGATGTAACAGAATTAGGATTGCCAGTATTGCCATATACCAACGGCATTGAACTGACAAGTAAACAACGGACCTTTAAATGCATTGCTTTACTGTAATTGGTTGATGGTCAATATCATTCTTAAAAACAGCCAATAGTGTTTCGGATACGGAAATAGAGAAAGAGAATGTAGATCCTTAGCTATCTTTCTTTACTTCTTTGATGTAATTGGCTAAAAATTCAATTTCAGATCTTTTAAACAGTAGCTTTAAGATTTAGGGCACACCATATACATACTATCTAGATAATAAGTATATGGGGCACACGCAACCACATGATACAAAATTAATCATGAACAGAACGCAAAGGTTATTCACAGCCTAATTGGTAGTAAACAAAATCCTCAATTGGATTCCGTTGTAGTTTTTCCATGTAATCTTGTCTTTAGGTAATAGAAAAAATTAGTGAAAAGCGGAAATTTAAAACATTCGTAATAATTGTGTTATATTTTTATACCTCTATATACAACATAGGTATATCTTCAATTAGTTTCATAAACTCTCGAAAATATTATACTCGGTGCCGCAACAATAAAATGGAATTTCCAGCATATTTACTATTTTATATTTTACTTAATTTTCCTGTACCTACTTGCATCTAATAATATTTTTTATACATTTTCAGGGACGGAGTTATACAGAATCTGAAGTTCGTGATATATGTGCTGCAGTGTTAAGGGGTAAAATCTTTATTCTCATAAAATATTGAACTATTCGTTACAGTTTCTAGACAAGGCGAAAACCTCGCATTCGTGGGAGAAATTTTCCGACTCGATTTTTTTGCATATTCAGATTTGTAAGATGTTCCTTAACAAGAATCAAGATGATGCCGGCCTGAAATCTGGTGCCCATTTGTTTAAACTAACTTTTTTTAAACAAATTGTAAAAATTTGTTTTTTCACTCCGGAAATTTTTTTTTTAGGTTTTTTGGCACATTATAAACAAAAAAGTTCCTATGCACTATGCCTCTAAAATTGATAGTTTTAAAGTTATAAACAATTTAAGCTGCTAAAAATGCGAAAATGACGATTTTCAATGGTCGATTTTATTTTTATTGATGTTGCCAGGTATCTAAATTAAAGTTTAAACACCCCCCTACAAGATGCTAAAGAGTTTTTGGAACTCTCATCTCATTATTTTAAATCCTTGTTTTTTAATTGTGAATAATGCGCTGAGCCGCGCGCGCGTCTCTAGTACGTAAATATTAAAATATTACCAAAGATCCATTACCCAAAGACTTAGTTAAACAATGTAAACGTACAAAAAACTGTAAGACTAAAAACTTGTTCTTGTAGGAAAAACTATGTCACTCGTGTACTTTTATGTGGTTGTAACATAGAACAGTGTGAGAATTCTTATGATTAAATAAATGTGTGATAATAATATGCAGTATTAAATAAATGTTCTTTAATAACAATTTTAAAACCGGAAATCGGCCGTTGAAAATCGTCATTTTCGCATTTTTAGCAACTTAAATTGTTTATTACTTTAAAACTATTAATTTTAGAGGCATGGTGCATAGGAAATTTTTTGTTTATAATGTGCCAAAGAACCTTAAAAAAATTTCCAGAGAGAAAAAAACAATTTTTACAATTTGTTTAAAAAAAGTTTGTTTAAACAAATGGGCACCAAATTTCCGGCCGGCATCATCTTGATTCATGTTAAGGAACATCTCACGAATCTGAGTATGCAAAAAAATCGAATCGGAAAATTTTTACCACGAAAGCGAGGTTTTCGCCTTGTCTATTCAATATTATAAATTAATATTTAAAATCATATTCACTTTCCTTTATATATTGTTTAGAATTAGATTTGAACATCTTTCCAAGTACCATTATATCCATGTGTCAACCTAATTGACATTGTAATACATTTTGTATCCAATATTTTTAGTCAACATTTGGAAAAAATTTCCTTTAATTCCAGTACATAATCACATAATAAATCATTTTATAACTATTATATTTTCAAATTTATTAGATCAACTTACCGAGTTAACAGCAACATTAATAGGCCCCCCAGGACCTCCAGGTCGGTCAAGACCTGGTAGGCCTGGTCCGCCAGGAGTTCAAGGACCCCCAGGTACAAAAGTTGTAAAAGTTCTATTAAACGCGATTCATAGCTTTAAAAAATCCATTGCCAATTTCATATTGTAACAAAACTAATATTATTCATATTGCATGCAGATAGAAGGGCAGAACTAATTCTGGGATTAAGGGGTCCACCTGGCCCCCCTGGGCTAGCTCGACGTGGAGAATCGGGAAGACCAGGAGCCCCTGGAATCCCAGGTTAGAATTTATGAAAAAAATTTGTATTTATCATAATTATTATAGCTTTGTTTCTAGTGCATTAGAACAGTTTCGAACAGTCAGGCGCAATCGCATATTTAATTCATAACAATGAATTTTGAACCTTATGAAATATTATATCGGAATGCGCATACGTGTCACTGTTGGAATCCGTTTGATTACCCTAGGAACAAAGTTATTGTATTGAGACGATATTTTAAATAATATTTAATGTCGACATTCTAATAACTATTTACTCTTATTTCGGGCTGGTATTTTTGGTACCAGTTATATAGTTTTGTTAACTAATTAAGTAGAGCTCTGAATCTCGAGGAATTCTCATAAGGTATGTATGTATTATTAAGAAAAAAAATCTATTTACTTTAAATAAACACGTTTTTTGCAAACAAAAACATATGATTTGTTTATACAGTTGTTGTACTAATTTCCATTTGGTATTTTAAGTTTAATAATTTACAGCATCCTGTCCAGGTTTTAATTGGAAAACTTTACTAGGTGATAGAGCACATTATTCGAAACAAAAAGTTTTATATGAATGTGGGCATAGAGAACGCTTCATTTTCGAGATAAGGGCGGATGTTGAAATTAACAAAAATATCACATAAATATGTGTATGTTGAGGTAAACTGTTGAAAATCTGAAAAATTTGATAATTTACCAGTGGCGGAGATATTGGGGAGGGGCTAGTAGCACTAGTAGCCTCAGGATTTCAAAACCTTTAAATAAGTATTCTGGAAATTGATTAGTGCTTTTCATACACAATGGCATTTCTAAGAAAAAAAAATTTGTTTCGTTTTATTCGAAGAATAAGTGGTTATTTTAGTGAGCACAGCACCTATATTAAAAATAACTCTAAAACTACGGTACGTTTTTACACAAAAAAAGTGGAAATATTTATTACTGGTTTTTCTTGTTAAAAGTGATTCTAAAGTTATTTTTTATTTAATTCAACTGTATGTGGAGACCTCAATATATAATTCTAAGGCTCGTTTCTTTGAATTAAAATAATAAGTAGATTATTTTTTAAATTCCACCAAAAGTTTCAAACACTTTCAAGTCCAACATTCATGTCCATATTTTTATCTGTTGTGCCACCTGGTGAAGTTTCCAAATTAAAATCTGAACCACTCCATATAGGTTTTGTTTAACAAAATTCATATCAACAATTGCTCATTTTTTTTTCTACAAATATTTTTTTGATAAATTCTGACTATAAATTAATAGCGCATGTTTGTAGATAAACAAGTAGAGAATCATGTATGTAGATTTGATATAATACATCATTTTATTACTAACGTCTTTGTCAATGACAGTTAGTGAAAATTTCGTCTTCTGGTAATAAAATGTGTGAGACTCATAACTTTTTTTTAACTTTTGAATTTACATAGATAAAAAATATTGAATGAAATTTACAAAACAATAAATTGAGCCTCTTCGATAAATGAAATGGGGGCTAAGTTGTGTAATCAGGAGACCAACATTATGCCTCTAAAAAATCAAGGCTAACATGATTCCTGAAAAATGATTATCCTGATTATCCTGAAAAAAATAGATCGGAATTTGTTTGAATTTTGAGCACTCGAGAAGCCTAGAAATAATTATGGACATGGGAATAAAACTCTAATAATGTTTTATTTTAATGCCTGGTGGCAATAGTTGGATTTCACGGGGTCTAACCACACTTACAGTGTACGATATAATTCAAAAACAAAGAAATCTAAATAAAAAAATTAGATAAATTTGGAACAAATACACTGAAGATGAATTTTTCGAGACAAAATGTCTGAAGGCTTGCAAAAAATGTAATAAAATTTCCAGAATTGTATTTAAAAAAATGAAGTTGATGATGGTCCTGGAGAGACAAAACGTAACATATAAAAATTGATTATGCCATTCGATAGAGGGCCATGAGAAAGTGTTCTTCTTTTTTCATCACCTCAAACAAGGCTGAAATGAAACAAAAACGGATTTCCAAAATTTTGGTATTTTTCAAATATTTCGAAAACTAGCAAAATATTATTTTTCATAAACAACTAATGGAAACAAACAAGTTTTTTCTTATTTTTCACATTTAAATTTTTCTTAGTTATATTATATTGAGAAGATTGAAAAATTAAAAAAAGAAATGGTATCTAATTGAAATTGGAATATAACTGCGACAAAAATTTAATACATATTAAAAAATGTAAAAATCCCTATCTGTATCTATGAGTTGGTATAAAAAAAAAACTATTTCGCACATGTGCAGCTCTTAACGAGATCTGAGGAGACTACCCTTACTTAAATTTTTCGTTTCATAAATTTTTTTCTCAATTATTTTGTCAGCAAAGCTGTCCATGTGGCCTTAAAAAATGGTTTAGGTTCCACGCTTCACTATCAAAATATGACGTTATAATTTTCACTGTGTCTATGATATTGATTTTCTCTAAGCATTATATGTTTTTAATACTGTTTGGCAATTCTTTTTTCTAGGACGGGCTATGCCCTATATAAAAATTTATGCCTAAGTTAACAGAAATAAAAACTTATATAATATCGATTAATTTATCTTTAGTTGTGCACAACATATATCGACAGTTTATTTAATTAGGTGACCCAGGACCGCCTGGCCTACCCGGTGAAATGGGCTTCATGGGATTACCTGGACCCTCAGGACCCCCAGGTTCCATTGGTATTCCGGGAGAACGAGGTGAAAAAGGTGATCGAGGACCTGAAGGAATAGGAATCGAGGGTCCTTCAGGGGTCAGAGGGTTACCAGGTAATATTATTTACTTCAAAATTTTAATGCAAGACATATGTTTGTGGCTTGCTTTTAGGACCTACAGGACCCCCTGGTATTGGCGTCCCAGGCAAAACGGGTGATAGGGGAGAACCAGGTCGGCCAGGTAAAATACTTAGTAGTTTATATTTTAGATGTTATTATCTTACTTAATAAATATCAACTTCAATTTTAGGTTCACCGGGTTTACGAGGATCTCCAGGTGCACAGGGTCCGCCAGGATTCTGTGAATTTTGCAACAATTACGCAGTAGCTCAAAGTTATCAGGCGTATAGACCAGGAGGCAATAATAAAGGACCATAATAAATTTAACTATAGTACACATTATTTTTGTAAATGTAGATGTTACAATATGTATAATATAAGTATTTGTGTTTATTAATCTGTGTAATTGAATACTGCAATTTAGATAAATTTCGAAAGTAAATATATTGTTATAAATAAAGAAATACACAAAAGTTGTTTTACATTGTGTTGTACATAATAAAATAAGTTAAAAAAACATGAACTAATTTCATTTCTACAAATGGGTCTGCATAACTGACCTGACCTAAACACTGTTTTTTCTAAAAAATTCCACCTCTATTCTTCTTAACATTAATCTGTATTAGCGTACCAAGAACATTTTTTTTGTTAATATCACGTTTAACTTATAAAAACGTTTCATAAAAAATGTGGAGGTTATTTTATTCAGTGAACAAAAATGTCTTGGTCTAAATCTAAATCGCAATGAAAAATCGTTATTATGCAACCCACATGTCAGGAAGTGAACCTGGTTGACGAACACCACTGATTCAGGGGCAGGTACCTAAAGAAAATGGCGTATATGGCGGTTTCTTGTGTTTCTACTTCTCAAGAGTTTTGATTTTATATATGTGAAAATTTCAAATGATTTCTTTTATTTTATGAAAAATATTGAGCAACCAGTAAGTTTTATATGTTTTAATTTATTAAAGATGCACATTGCCTTAAATAGTTAAGAAAACTGCTGTAAATCACGTAGATTGACAGGTCATTTAATGAATTGCCTTTTTATGTTTTGGATATTAAAAGATTTGGACTTATTTCAACAATACTTGACCAAGTTTTGAATTGTTGAAAAGTAATAATTGCTGACAAATTAACATCCAATCAAAATAAAATGATTTGATGCTTAGCAAGTAGGAACTGCATTAGGTATTGGTTTAAATTTTTTTCTCATAAAACATTAACCCAGTTTTAATTATTGTGTTGCTATTTCAGCCATGCAGGGTCAAGAGGGCCTCTCTGGGTCTTCAGACCACAGACTAGCACTTATCCATGAAATGAGTGCACACAACTTTGATTTGATTAGATTCGCTTCTTATAGAACTGCAACAAAGTTAAGGTTTATACAGAAGAAAGTTAGTCGTAAGTATTCCTAAATTGCCTGATGTCCTGCAAGAATTTATATGAATTTTAAAAGCCTAAGTATTTTTTATCATTGTTCATACTAAATTCATTCAGAAGAGAATTCTTTTAATATAAGAGTGTATTTTGTTGCATGTATTAAATAAATGATGTTAATTATGATAGCCTTGATGTTGTATATTATATAAAGACAAGGACATCGTCACAAAGAATACGTTACGTAATAACATTCCTATAGTCGTGAAAATATATAGTTATATAATATTAATTATTAAATTACAGAATAATTGTATTTTTTTATTATAGTGTAACATATCAATATATTTTGACAAGGAGTTGTAAAGAATACTTATACTTAATATTTACTAAAGGGGACTTGTATAAGAGAATTATTTTTTCATGCGTCATATTTCGTAATAATTATTTTTAGTGCATGCGGTTGATATATGGAACGTTATAGAAGCATTCCGAGAGCAAGGTTTGCATGCCTTAGAGCCATCGCAGGAATTGAGTGTAGCTCGATTGGAAACGTTGCTGTGTTCTTTATATCATAGTTTAAATAAGAGAGCTCCTCCTACGCAACAAGCTCATGTAGACGTATGTTCCAGTTTGTTATTAAATTGGATACTGGCTGCTTATGCAACAGTGTAAGTATTTTTTAAACACAAGTTGAAGCGTATTATCGTGAAATAATTTTTTTTTAGTGACAACGTGGGGAAAATTAGAGTATTTTCAATAAAAGTCGCTCTTGCCACACTGTGCGCTGGCAAGCTGATGGACAAATTACGTTGTAAGTATCTGTAGCACTTATTTCTTCTTGTAAAGCTTACAAAAAAGTCTGTTGAATTTTGAGAAAAAATAATCACTTTATAATAATTAATATTAGAATCACTGTAGCTTCTGTAGAGCCTAATTGAATATTTTTAACCTCACATTAGGATGTTTGTATTTAACGATTTTAATTTTGTATTTAACGATGTAATTTTAAAAGTCAATAATTTTTAACTAAGCTAACTCACTGAATTTCAAGCGGAAATTCCACATCAAAAGTTAACAAATATGTTCATATTAAGATGTGACCTATATATAAGATGCTAAAAATAAGGTTTATTTCAACTTTGATTCAAGTATTGACATCTCGAACGGCTCGAACATAGAAACTGCCGTTAAAGTTTAGCCAAGCGTTTTAGTTGCACCCTGTATAATTTCGTAATAGATTTATATCAGGACTTAAGTATAATAAAACATAGATCAGCACGGTATCTTTTTAGATATTTTCTCGCAAATATCTGATAGCAATGGATTGCTATTGCAATGGAGGTTTAACGAATATCTTCAGGAGGTTTTAGCTTTACCCGCTGCTGTATACGAATCTCCTACTTTTAACTACACTGACTCGCTAGCCAACTCTATTTTCAGTCCAGTAAGTGATTCTTACAAATATTTTAATTTTATTCTTTAAATCATGTTCTTTCAGAATGTTAAAGTAACTGTTAACGATTTTTTGGATACAATGATGTCAGATCCTGGTCCTCCTGCGTTGGTGTGGCTGCCCCTTTTACATCGAATAGCGAATGTTGAAAATGGCAAGTGCTTTCTTGAATATTACGTATTCTTTTAGTCTTCAAAAAAATGTTTTCATTCTTTCTCCCATATTTTCGTATACTATAAACTATGAATTGACTTTCACCTCTACACATTTGAAATGATGGAAAATTCCCTATTACAGGGTGTTCCTAAATATCATGTACATAAGGGAGGGGGCAATTCTTTGGTCTATTTTATGACTAAAAGTTCATATAAACTTAGGTCCGTAAACGCTTCGTTACTGATCTACAGTGTTGAAATTTTAAAAATTTTTTAGTTTTTTTTCTATAGCTCCCACAGTTTTTGAGATATTTAGCTCAAATTTGGAATATAAGTTATGCTGTAGGGCTTACATCATTGGACATGCCAAATGGTCGTGATACTCTACAGAGTGATATTTTTTCGGAATTCATGCCCCCTTGTCTTTCCCTGAATTTTTTTGCGGCGCGCTGCTGTTAGATTCTAAAATTAAAATTGGATTTTATGTTTTGTTGAGAAACTTTTTGCTTCTTATGATTTTTTCCTATCTGCGACCGTTATCGAGAAAAAAATATAAAAAACGATTTTATGTAATTCGTCAGATGAAATTTAAATTCTTAAAATGGTCCAGTAGGCTCTGGCTTTATTTAGATAATCTCTTGTTTCTATTAATTGGAGAGTTTATTCGCCACTACCTGTTAAAATTAAAGCTGGGATGACCCATTTCAAAATTGTAAAAGGCATTGTTATGAGATTATAATGAGTATTTAAAACACTTTTACACTTTACCTTACAGTTTATAACATAAACCTTTAATTTTTAAACATATGCAGACCCAAGTTACTATTTCAAATGCGAACTGTCAAAATTAATAGAAACAAGAAATTATCTAAATAAAGCCAGAGACAACTGGACCATTTTAAGAATTTAAATTTCATCTAACGATTTACATAAAATCGTTTACCTACGACCACTACTGTAAATACTTAAAAAGACACCGTCTGCAGTCAATGTAAGATTCCTATTACGTACGGTAAAAAAATCGCACAGCTTTCCCAGCAACCGCCTAGCAATGGCCAATACAATACTGTTTGTATTGACCGTTGCTAGGCGGTTGCTAGGAAAACTGTACAATTTTTTTACCAAGCTGTGCGATTTTTTTACCGTACGACGTAATAAAAATCTTGCATTGATCGCAGACGGTGTGTTTTTAAGTATTTAAAGTAGTGGTCATAGGTAAAGTATAGTACGTAATACGTGGTGTAATGCAATTACGCACTCATGGAATTACCCACTCGCCGCTACGCGGCGTCGTGCGTAACTTTTCCGTTCGTGTGTAAAATGATTTTTACTACACTTATTACGTAATATACTATTTAAATTTTTTTTTCTCGATAACGACCGCAGATACGAAAAAATCATAAGAGGCAAAGAAGTTTCTCAACAAAACATAAAATTCAATTTTAATTTTAGAATCTACCAGCGGCATACCGCACAAAAGTTCAGGGGAAGAAAAGGGGGCATGAACCCCGAAAAAATATCACTCTGTAGAATATCACGACCATTTGGCATGCCCAATGATGTAAGCCCTACAGCGTAACCTATATTCCAAATTTGAGCTAAATATCTCAAAAACTGTGGGAGCTATAGAGAAAAAAACTAAAAAAATCTTAAAACTTCAACACTGTACATCGGTAACGAAGGGTTTGGGGACCTATGTTTATATGAACTTTTCGTCATTAAATAAGCCAAAGAATTACCCCCTCCCTTCTGTACATGATATCTAGGAACACCCTGTATAAATATACTATAATTTTTTTTAATAGTTGTCCATCCAGTTCAGTGTGATGCGTGTCAGAGAGAGAATTTCACGGGATTTCGATACCGCTGCCAAAAATGTCCGCATTACACACTGTGCCAAGATTGCTTTTGGCGAGGTAGAGTTTCTGCGCCTCACGCTCTAGACCATCAAGTTAAAGAGTATGCTTCCTTTGTAAGATCTCATCAGCGAATATTTTTATAATGTGTACATAATGATTTTCATTTTAGTCTCCTAGTAAAACCATCGGTCAATCTTTGAGAAAGTCTTTCCGATGCGTCCCTGACAAGCAGAGAAATAATTTACCGAGGTTTCCTGAACAGCCTGAGAAAACACTGAACCTTTCCCACATTGTGTAAGTATCGATCACTTTACACACCATTTCATATAATATAACATATCTTGTTACTTTTAGACCACCGTCTCCCATTCCGTCACATAATGGTTTTCCAGACGGAAACTTTTCAGCTTTCGATGGCATGGGAAGTTTGGACAGCAGGTCAACAGCTCGAAGGTTAGTGTTCATCATATTCGGTGCAATTTTATATGTTTCAACTTTATTTCTTTTAGTTTGGATAGTGCCCGAGATGATGAACATCGATTAATAGCCAGATATGCGGCAAAACTGGCCCAAGAGGCGAGAGCTGGAATGGTGAGACATTTTTTTATAGTTTAGATACCATCTGTCGATATCGAAGCATGTTATCTGATATATTTTTTTTATGTGTTGGATGATTTCTAAATGTGCTTTTGCTGTTGCTTCTTTTAGTCCCGAAGCGGGTTCAGAAAAAATTCTCTTTCTCCAGAAACGGTAAGTAGTCCAAGCTAATTCTTTTTTGGCTTAATGCTATTCGTTTATCATTTACTTAATGTTGCAAAAATTAGTAAATCATTTATTTATTGTTCATTGATTTCTTTTTAATTAAATTCAATAAGCCTTTTAGAATTTTTTTAATTGAAGGTAGTTTTTTCATATTTAAATTTTAAATAAATTGTTTACTATAGACAAATTTCGAAAATTTTAGTTTTTTAAATCGCATGATCAAGTTAAAGATGGGGCAATAATTTTGAAGGCTTAAAACTGAATTAGATTACTGTTACAACCAAAATGTATAGAGATATTTAAAATATGTATAAAACAACCTATTTCTTGATTGGTGTAACCAAACCCAGTGGCGCTTTGTAACATTGAGACTAGGTGAAGAATATTTATTAATTGACTATACTCCGCGGTCGAAATTATAGAGAGTGACTCATCGCTAGCTTTTGGAATAGTAAGGGGAATGAAGCGTGCCGGGAACGAAAATCCATTGGCGTGTCTGCATAAAAGGCAACAAGATATATAAAATATTAAAAAAAGATAATAAAACATAACATCTAATATTTTTTTACGGCTTGCTATAAGTGGCAATTTGATCCATTTTAATTATTATAGCAGTTGTGTTTTTTTAATTTATAAATTTATTATAGCCATGGAATTAGACCCCTCGTACCACGCTTATGCTATGACGTTTCTCAGGACGGGCAAATCAAGTCCGTTTACACCCACTAAAAAATAATTTCCCTATTCCCTACCAAATGCAAAAGACAGAGATAGAATATAGATCGACGTTCAGTGTAACTTAGTCTATAGACGATTATAGATTCTATCGATTTACGTAGCGAGCGGCACAAAGATAAATTAATCTTAATTCTGTGAACATTAACGCACACTGTATATGTTCCAAAGAAGCTTCGTGGTTACGACAGCCTCGTGTGATGTTCCCAAAATTGTTAGATCTCCTTATTCCACACGCCCCACTTTACACTCACAATTAAACAAGGCATACAGAAAAGTTTTTTTAAATAAAAACTTCCACACAACCCTTATACTCTGAATACCATTCATTCCTAAACTTCCGAACGTACACTTTGTCTTTTAACTTCCCCCTTTTTTTCACATCGAGAGACGGCACAGGTCTCTCAATTAAAAAAATCTTTTTAGTCCTTAATTTCCCATCTGGAAAATGGTGTTTCCAATAAAATACATACTGATTGATACAAAACAAATATTAACAAAGAACTGTCATAATCGTGCACTGGGCGACGTATTGTATAAACTGTTTAAAGGCAGGTGATGGGCGTTGGAGATATTGCTTCAATTTTTGCATCACTCGTTCCCCACACCGTAGTTTATTCCCGTGTTGGCCTCCTCATTGCCATGACAACCGCCGTAAACAACGCTACGAAGTGAAGCGGAATACAAACTGATTTCGATTCGCGTCACTTGTTCATGCGCTACGTTATATGGTACAAGGTTGACATTCGCGCTCAAGGAAGGCATTGTGTTTTTAGAATGCGGTCAGTGTGCAACTATTCTGTTTTATTTCTGCGTATAAAACAAACAAACGCAACACATTTTCAATAAAAAAACCTAAATTATAAAATTGATATAAAATTAAAAATAACCAAACAGAAATTTTAGGTGAAGCGGTGCATCACCTGGCGAGCCGCCACTGACAAAACCACATGTTTTATAAAAATGGAGCTTCAAACACAGCGCCTAATGGATTGAAATTTAGATATGTTTTTTTGGGTTTGGCATAATAACTTTGTTGAGGTTAAGTTCTTTACTTTTCTTAAAGGTACTAAGCTAATTAAAAGAAATTTTAAAAAATTCATTTGATTAGTTTTTTTTTAATAAATTTTTTGGCATTGGCATAGTACATTTAAAAAATTTATTTTAAATTTTTAAAAGTTAAGTTCATTATAGTAATGTAATATAAAATTTCATATTATATTAAAAAAGGTACCCTTGTCGCTAGAAACACTGTTCTTGAAAAAACCTCTAGAAACAAATGGACTGGAAACTTATATGCATATTAAGGAGAAGAAAGCTGGTTGACTGTCAGCTGTATGTTTCTTAAAAACAATGCGTTTTCAGTGAATGTGACAGATTTACTCATTTTATATAAAATTTAATTTGATGTAATATGAAAGGTAAATTATAATAAACCTAACATCAAAAAAATTATGTCATCAGTTACTGAAAAAAGTGGTCAAAAATTAAATACAGTATGTATACTAAATTTCATTGCATTACATTGTCTGTTAGAAATGATATGGCTGAAATTTTACTTAAAAAAATTACTGTCCATAGAAAAAAATCTTGTTTTTAATGATCACTTAGCTCCTTAATTAATGGTACATTTTTCCAAAACACCCTGTATAATTATTGTGGATACTGAACGTATAATGCTACTAAGATGTTTCATTGAAAATGTATAATTTTAACTTAATAAATTGCATTGTCTAAATCTGAAACTGTTGTTCCCTAAATATTTTAAGTTTTATATTTCAGATCAGAATTAAATTTTATACTTTTAACTTAATTTTGTGATTCTTAAAAACTAGAATTTTCAAAATTTGCTTAAAATATAAGGATGATGTGGAAAAGCCATTTCCCAAAGTTCCTGCTAGAGAAAAATGTCTGACTTCAGCGCCATTTGTAATTTCTTTTAGAAAAATTTTACTTAAGTTGTAGTTTTTCAATTTCTCTATTTTTAATAAAATATACTTCAGAGTTTGAAGGGAAATAATTCAAATTATATAGACTGTCAGGCTCAAGTAAAAAGAAGCTTTAACATCAGAGAAGTACGATCTTTAAATAAAGAGTATATTAGTTTTAAACAAATTTTTGCTCTAAATATAAAGCCACCTGCTCATCTATGAACAAAATGCTCCAACAGGTCAACTTTGTTTTTTAAATGCACATCTTTTCATGTTGTTCAGTTTTTCAGTAAGGCACGGAAATAACTCCTTCAATTTAATAATTTTCCGTTTATTTCATTTTGGTTAATATTATTTAGGGAAGAGTTCCATCAGAAGCCTGTCTGGGTATGGACTCTACAAGAGCACAAAGGGAACTGATCAGTCAATTGGAAGCTAAAAATAGAGAAATTATGAGAGAAATAGCCAGGCTGAGGTACAATACGGTTATAATTTAAAAATAATGCGCCTTTTATTAAATACAATTTTTAGGAGACAACAAGAATTGGAGTCCAGCGGTCATGGTGCCGATAACCCCGTGTTAATGAACGAATTGAGAGCTTTAAGAATGAGAAAAGATGAACTAGAAACACATTTGACAACATTACAAGATTCCCGTAGGCAACTTATGATTCAGTTAGAAGGTCTAATGAAGATGTTGAAGGTTTGTTGAATATCTCTTTAATTTCCAGGAAACGATGAAATGCATTATGCATGATTGCAGTTAACGTACACAGTGGCTAATTTTGTCACTTTTGGGTGGTTTCTCACACTTCCTGAGTTGACATGCAAAAAGATTTTTGAGAAGAATTGTACGATGAAAACTTTCTCAATATAGTGATTTATTTAAGAGATACAAGGCTTTTTCATTTTTGGTTATTTTTACATTACCATTTTTGACATTTATCAACCTTGACTTGCTCGCTTTATATCTATTCCTTCTTTAGCACATATCAACTTTTGAAGTTTTCAAGGTTATTAGACATCATTTCAAACTTAACAAATTTCAATCAATTTGCTTTATACACCATAATAAACTTTTTATTAAACTGTCGCATGTCGTTTTTTCGTATAATTCCAATCTTGATACAATGTCATTGTTCGTACAGCATAGGGCTGAATGTGTTAGAGTTAATTGTTGCTATTTGCAAATTTTAGTACAAGCAATTTTTTTTCCATTCTTGCAATTAGAATCATCAGTCTTCACCAAGGAGTACCCCTAATTCATCACCCCGCAGCACAAAGTCCCCACCATTGCCCCCGGGAGCAGTTCCAACATCACAAGCCAATCCGAGAAGTGCCCCTCAAACTCCCATGGGCATGCCCCCTTGCCCTAATCCCGCCATGGTTAATTCCATGACTTCTATGGGGCAAGGAGAGAGAGAACGCGACCGCGAACGAGATCGTGAGAGAGAACGTCCTCAACATATATCGTCCCACCCACAAGGGATTGTACCGCCCTTAGGCTTAGGCAATAGGGAACAGATGAATAGTTTGTCGCAGGAAAGGAATGAAAGAGAGAGGGGCTTGCATAATATCAACAGTGATTCCTTGGTGGGGGTTGGGGGTGACGTGAGGAATGCTTTCGGAGGATCCTCTAACATCAATATGGGTAAGTAGTCTATTAAAGTTCTGATTAAATCCTTCAGTTAGAAGTGGTACATATAACTTAAATAGGGTGTACTATCACTTGGTTTCTCCGAGCCACTTTACTGAAAATAAACAATTAGTCAGTGTTGCCAACCCTAGGGAAATTTCCTTATTTTAGGGAAATTTGTACACCTCTCGGAAAATAGGGAAACTTGTGAAATCTAGGGAAATTTTTGAGCATTTTCTTAGTCGTTATCCTTTGGAAATAAGCGCACATAAACCAATAATATTGGTATCATTGTTTTACATTTATACATTATTTCTAAACTAACCTTGATATTTAAAGGGTACTGTTTTTGGTGGCAGTACATGATTTGTGGCCAAAAAGCATATGTTAAAGCATATGTTACATGTGGTAAGTTTAGGGCCTTAGAAAAATTAATTTAAATTTAAAAATTAATTGAGAAAATATTTATGGACATATTTTGTCGAGGACGATGATAATTTGCAATTGGTGGTGTCTAATCTGAATGTTTTTGAACAGAGAATAAATTTGTTTCCTTTTAAATATTATTAATTTTTGTGTTTATATTTACATTTACATTTTTGAAATATGTTTAACTGAATAGTTTTCAAATGACTTGATTTTAATTTAAAATTAATGGCCTTAAATTTTTTTGCTTTTTCCAACTAATTTCTAATTATTTGATATTCATCCAAATAGTGTATTATTATTCGGTATTCAGCCAAATACCAAGAAATTTACCTAATAAGCAGAATTCCGAGAAGTTGCAGAATATTTGTTATAAAATGTAAAAAAATACTAATCTTAACAAAAAATTGCGAGCATATTGAGAACTTCTGGAGTCGAGAAGGAATGACATCATATTACCATATGACAATCATGTAGCAAGTGTTCAATGTTGCCACATCCTGCATCAATATGTAAGCAACTTCGTCACTTAAAGAATCATACATTTACAAGAACGTCTGCATTTGTTAATAGTCTGTGAAGCAAGTGATAGTTCTTCAACATCATTGATTTTTCTGTCATAAAGTCTGATGCATTGTCTGGAAAATAGAAGGCCACCAATTTGGACTGATGCGTCTTATATGCGTGTAATGAGGTGAACCCCCCCCCATCATATAAATACTAGACGTACATCGAGAGATACTTGTCCAAGAATTGGGGAAGTCTTCGACTGCATAACAAAGTTGGAAGCAATTTGCATACACATGTTTTGCAGCCACAACATTTTGTCTACATTCACTGTGTAGCAATCCACCAATTCATAATTATTGTATTTATAGCACTCTAGTAAAATAATAACCACTAATGTAGTGTAGTGACATTCGTTTACTACAATTTCATCAGCACTAGATTAACCCTTAACCCGCGAAGACGGTCTCTCAGACAGCTAACTAAATTGTTTCACTAAATGATTCTAAAATTGTAAGTATTTTTCATTTACATTTTTCTTGTGTACCTAACGGCTTCTTTGTATAATTTGAATCAGTATCTAGTTCGAAAAAAGTCAAGTTTTCTGATCCAGATTATGAGGAAACACTCCAAAAATGGTTCGATGATGACTTTGAAAACGATGACTCGCTTGAAACCGAAATAGAAGATTCTGAGGATGATCAAGATGGCAACAACATTGAAAGTGGCCATGATTCTGTCTCCGAACAAGAACTTAGTTCTTTAGAGTCTGAATGAAAATGAAAATATTGCACTGCAACAATGTAAAAACTCTTTAGAAGAATTCTATGATGATAGAAACCGGAAAACAATCTACACGGGAAAACATAGTTATAAATGGGCATCGCAGGAACCAAATAGAGCTGTTCGAACTCCGAAACACAATTTGGTGCTGAAACTACCTAGCCTCAAAGAAGGGCCCAGAAACTTGGGCGATAATCCTAATATTGAGAACATCTGGGATCTGTTATTTGATGAAATCTTGATAAACAAAATAGTTCAACAAACCGTCAAACTAAATGATGTAAGACGCGGTCATAGAAAACAGAATTCTCCTGACTACAAAGACATGGCAGAATTGAAAGGATTCATTGGTCTGTTGATTCTCAGTTCAATATGTAAATCTGACCATGAAAATATGCCGTCCTTATTTTCTAACTATGCAATTGGTCGCCCTATATTCTGAGCAGTTATGTCACAGATTCGAAAAAGTCTCTTCAATTTGACAAAAAGAATACCAGGGATAAAAGATATGAAAATGATGGAGCAGCAGCAAAGTCGTGCTAAATTCACAGAACTGTTTCAATTTGAGACCAATGACCTGCGTTGATGAAATGCTGGTTAGCTTCAGAGGGATGTGTAAGTTCCCAATTTATATGCCTAATAATTCATATTTTTATAAGGATGCATTTATACTGGAAAGGATAGCGATGGACAAACTCTCTTAAAATATGAAAATAAACTCCAAATTCCTACAGAAGCAGTAATTCGGAAAAAAGTAACATTACTGCCGATAATTGGTTTTTCTCTATCGAGTTGCTTGAGCAATTGATACAAAGAAAAACAAACGTGAGATACCTGCTGAATTCCAGCTCTTTTCAACATGACCAGTGGGTTCCAGTTTATATGGTTTTTCTGACAACGGTTTCACGATAATATCTCATGTCCCAAAAAAAAGAAAGTGGTGTTGCTAGTATCCTCTTCGCACCACCCTATAGAAAGAGACCCAGAGAATGGCCTCCCAGAAATGGTTTCATTTTATAATAGAACAAAATGTGGGGTTGATTCTTTGGACATGAAATGTTCCAATTAGTCTTCAAACGCCAGAACCCACAGATGGCCAATGGTTGTATTTTACAGGATAGTAGACATATCTGCGATTAACGCTTATATATTGTTTTTACATTATAAAAGCATTCAACCAAAGTCTAGATACACATTTACAAAGGAACTTGCAATTTCTTTGGCAAAACTGCTCATGGAAAGGTGACTATAAAATCCAAGGGTGAACCGGGAACTTCAAGGTCTTATAAGACTACACTTGGAGTAACCGAAGAACAACCACTTACAACGTCAACTGATGATGTCTAGAGATACGAAAAACATGCAACCTTTGCCCTAATGAGAAGAAAAGGAAAACTTTATATAAATGTTTTCGCTGTCAGAAACCGATTTGCCTTGAATGTTCTAGAAAATTATGTAAAAATTGTACTGGTGATGTCAAAAATGATTAAGTTTCTATCCCTGCTGTTGTACTATTCTGAAACACGAAAGATTTTTAGATGTGCAACCGATGACAGTTAAGAAACAACCAATTTTATGGAGAACAGTAGATGAATTATCAAAACAAAAGATAGGCAATAAAACATTTAAATTATGAATACTCGGTAATACACCAGGCACAGAAATTAAGGATTATTAAAAAAATCACAATATTTTGGGTGATTTTCAAAGAGCTGTAACTTGTAGTGAATTGGTCGTAGAGAATAAAAAAAAAATTGAAGCTTCAAGTGTCTAGTTTCCGGAACTGGAGTTTAAAATTTTTAGCATTTAAAAAAGCAAAAATTTACAAATATTTTTTTCGTTGATTTTCTTAAGATTACTCAAAGATTGCTGAGGTACATCCAAGTCTAAACTAAAACAATTTAGAAAATGTATGTGTTTAAAACTTTACTCTTTAAATGTTACACAATAGTTTGTGTTACATAACTGATTCTGCAATATACTTTTAACTATTTAACTGCACAACTTTTTTATATGAATAGGTTAGATATGATCTATAGAGTATTGTGTTATCATCTTAAATGCCATTGCTATTCAGTGCCTTCTGACAAAACAATGCTTTGCACCTACTGGCAGAGAGTAACCTACTAATTTGCTATAAAAGCATGACTAGTGTATGACTAGGACAGATACACTTTTTAAATAATGATATTGTGGGAAACTACTCTGTGAGCTACATCCAGCAATGAATTACACTCTTAATATCTAGTAAACATAGAAGTATCTACAAATTTGTAGGTCATTCTCTGACAGTAGGTACAAAGCAATACTTTGTGTCGATAAGCATTGAGTAGCAACAACATTTAAAATATAATATACTCTGTAGGTTATATTCACATTGAAAATATGTCGGTAGATAAACATCCAAATGGTTAAATCATACATTGGTTGTCTCACCTATAACCTACGGATAAGAACTAATAAGTTGGGAGCTGGTCTACGTTTGGTGATTCTAATGACAAATAATCTTAACTGTTTAATTGTATATGCTGGGTGTAATTCAATGCTAGACGGGAAATGTAGCTTACGGAGTAGTGGTTTCCCACAATCATCAGTTGAATGTGTTATATGTATTTTATTTTAATAAATTTTTGCTACATAGATATAGTTTGTCACCAATAAAGTGATGCGATAGGTACACAAACTGTTGAAGCTTTATAATTCTGGTGGTAATGGGTGTACCCGTTTTGTAAATATACAATTTATTGTATATTTCAGGAACAAACGGAAATGGTACGCCTGGATCAGTAGGGCGTTCATTGCGAAATGATCTTCTAGTTGCTGCTGATTCAGTAACAAATGCCATGTCAACTTTAGTAAGGGAATTGAATTCAGGTACGGATAGATAGATGTGATTCAGTTTGGTAAGGCTTAAACCACTTAGTATTATATACAGAGCGAATATTATCTAGCTATTTTAGTTTTTATATTGTTTTATATTGTATCGTTTAGATTTTTGTATAATATTGGATAATCTGCTACTTTTATAATTTATTATTGTTATATTGTTTTTTAAATCTTGGTACTTACGAGACACTATACTTTGTACAAAAATGTGAGACTATTTTTGAGTGAGATTATTTCTTTGATCTGTTTTCTTAATTTGGTATGCTGAATGTCGCAGGTTGTGCAACTGGCATGAAAATACATGACACAAACATGAAAATACTCATTTGAATTATTTATTGAATAATTTTGTATTAATAAATTTTTTATTGTTGTTAAATTTTAAAGATTTTAGTTTTTCTATGTAATTTTAGGACTTATTTTTAACTTTGTGTTGCCATTGTTGATGAGTCGGTCTTATATTAATAAATAAGTTATTTATTTATTTATTTTGTTTTTATTAGTTCCATTATTTTATTTATAGTTTCGTCAAAAATTACCTGATTATTGTATTTTCAAGGCTTTATATTTGTTCCCAGAACAGTCAGAAATGATTGATAACTGGCAGACCCTTGCATGCAATTAATTCTGATATTCTGTAAACAAAACTGTTAATTATTTATTTTTCTTCAGTTTATTTTTTTATATATAAGAAATGGAAAAATGTCTACAAAATAATTAGTTTTCAAATTTAATTGCAGTGGTTAATCATAGGCATAATTAAAAACCTCTACCAAATAGTCACTTTTAACATTTTTTGAGATCAAAATGTGGTGCGTTACCTGCGATTTTATTTTACGCATTTCACAACAGATTTCTTTAAATAACTTTTTAACCATCTAAAAATTTCCTACTCGAAAAATCAAAACATGTATTTGAAATAAGACACAAACTGAATGTGAATAATGTCAATTTTTTAAAATGTATTTGCAGTTTACGTTCAGGCAGCAATATACAGGGTTGTAATTAAGTATGTAGACAAACTGTATGGGGTGATATACTAAAGGGTTACATAAACGTGAATCTGTAAGTCGATAGTTTTCAAGATACAAGGTGTTGAAAATAAAAAAAAACATTTTTTCTAAAATATCTTTGAAGATAGTTATGCACAATGTTGAAACGTAGGCTGATGATTTATTTAGTTAAAAGTAAAAATCTACTGCATTTTATTACAAATAAATACATATACGACCAGTAGCGGAGATACTTGGAATCATTCACTAAAAGCCTCAGAAATTGAAGCTACTGGATATTTTAAAAATTTAATCACAACCTGTAATTTTTTGTGATGTTTCCAAGAAAAAAGATCTTTAATTTTATTTGAAAGAACTATTTTCAGTTTATTTCTTTTTTTAACTTTAATGCTATTAAACAGTTCATTAATTCATCAGAACTTATCCAAAAAAAAAATTTGGACATACAGGGGACTCTTACAAATACAATTTTGTAAAGAAAAAATCAAAACGGGCAGTTTGAAGATGATTTAAAAACACTTCTGCACGGCACTGGAAACTGGCTCACTGAGTAAAACCTGACCCTGCACAATGCGACTGGCATGTCGGCAAAGTGTGATAAAAACAGACAAAAGCTTTTGTAAGGAAAGAAATAAATTGAATTTTACAGCACCTATTTTATATCAACAAATTCAACTGCTTTTGCCGTTATTGTTATCGCCATAAATTAAAACGATATCCATCAACTCCCAGTTGCTATACACGCAAGCTATTTTTGACACTACCAAAAAACTATTGTAAACACCGCCACAGTAAACACTATCACAACGAGGACAATTGTAAAATCGGATTTCAGTATTCAGTCTGAGGCACTTGGTTCTCCACATATATTGCGAATGACGCTAGAGACTACAGTTGTCCAGCTATGTAATGGTTGAATGTACTACAACTTCAATAATTTTTTTTCTCGGAAACTAACGATATTAACTCACACCACATCTATTCCCAAATTTTTTGGATAAGTAGTGAATCACTCTGTATTTATATCGGAAATCAGTACATTTAATTTAGAGACATTTTTAAATTTCAGCATCTTTTACCTTGAAAACTATTAGTTATAATAGTAGTACATACAGAGTGACCCATTTGAAAGCGGGCCACCCTCACAACATTTTTATTTATGGAGCGATTTTGACGAAATTTTTTTTGAAATGTAGAGGGAGGAAAAGTGTATTTTGGGGCCAAGCGCCGCCCAGTTCTTTTTTAAACTAAGGCCTACTAGATCACATTCAGAGGCTGAAAAATCCAGAATCCATATTAGCGATTTTTTTAGAAAAAATCTGCGTACGCCACTGGATTCGGCGTCCCCTGAAATGGATCTGTACCAAATTTCATGAAAAAATATTCAACATTAACGATTCTGCGGCTAAATTGCTGTCAAATTGTTTATTATGCATAAAGAAACTTTTTATCTAGTAACCCATGCGATAATAAATCAGTCACAACAAATATTTAATAACACGTTTAATAGACATCATTATACCAAAATACAATGAAACAGAAAAATGAACGAGAAATTAACATAAAATTTACAAAAAATACAATAAAATAAAATTAACGCACGAATTAAATTAAATTCTGGATTTTTCAACTAAATCTCCATTTAATTGAATGAATATTTTTGTAAATGTTGCCTCTCCTAGATTTTTTTTGTGGGGGTTCATTAAAGAAAAAGTTTATTACACTCGTCCAATGAATGCAGAAGAACTGCGCGAAAGAAGAAGATAGGCATGCGCTGAAATTACAACACATCAATTGTCTACTGTTATGGCACACATTCAAAAACAATACAATAAATGCATTCAATTAAATGAAGATTTAGTTGAAAATTCCAGAATTTAATTTAATTCATGTGTGTTAATTTTATTTTATTGTATTTTTTGTAAATTTTATGTTAATTTCTTGTTCATTTTTCTGTCTGTTTCATTGTATTTTGGTATAATGATGTCTATTAAACGTATTATTAAATATTTGTTGTGATTGATTTATTATCGCATGGGTTACTAGATAAAAAGTTTCTTTATGCATAATAAACAATTTGACAGCAATTTAACCGCAGAATCGTTAATATTGAATATTTTTTCATGAAATTTGATACAGATCCATTTCAGTGGACGCCGAATCCAGTGGCGTACGTAGATTTTTTCTAAAAAAATCGCTAATATGGATTCTGGATTTTTCAGCCTCTGAATGTGATCTAGTAGGCCTTAGTTTAAAAAAGAACTGGACGGCACTTGGCCCCAAAATACACTTTTCCCCCCTCTACATTTCAAAAAAAATTTCGTCAAAATCGCTCCATAAATAAAAATGTTATGAGGGTGGCCCGCTTTCAAATGGGTCACTCTGTATATAACCTTTTTGGCTTAAAATCATTCAAAGATTTGATTTAAAGTTTGTTGATGTAGTTAATTAAAGCCCTGTATCTTACATATAGGGTGACCAGAAGCGAATGGGCCATACCTCAAGGGTAGCTTCCACTGTTGAAAAATAAACCAACTTAGAATCATTTCATTTTTTAAAATATTCCAATGAAATTTAGTATAGAAGTGTTTTACAGGTGTAGCCAAAGACAAATATACGATTATGTTTCATCTAAAACATAGGGGTAATTAAATATGGCTGAAGCAGTACTTCATTATTTTGTTATATTTTTTGTTGGTGGTAAAGGTTTTAAGAAAACATGTTTTATGAAGAAAATGACACTTAAAATACCTGTGTTACCAGAATCTCTGTCGGTAAGTAAAATATAACAAAAAAATAAGACTGTCTCAGGTATTTTACTACCTCTATCAAATTTCATTTAAATATCTAAAAGTAAATTATCTTAAGAAAAATGGAATGATCTGAATTGATTTGAAGACCTGCAAGTTTTTAAGGAAGCAAAATTGTATTAAGTTAACCTGATCTAAATCAGTTTATTCATTCATTCATCGAAGGAAGCTACCCTCAAAGTATGACCCGTCTGTTTTCGGACATTCTGTATATTGGCATTTCCTAGAGGTTAGTGTTTTTTTTAAGTGTTCTAAGTACTTAGGTAAGTTTTCTTTTAGTTTTCATTCTTTTTATTTTACTTAATTCTGTTGCCAACAAAATACATATTGCATAACTTAAAATTGTGGTAGCTGTATGTGGAATGCTGCCTGTTGAATGATTGTTAAATTGCAGAACCTTCGATGCAGCCAGAGGCTAGTGGTATCAGAAAACCTCTTGGTGAGTAGTAGACTGTAGCTTACAGAAAATATCACTTGTATGAATTAGGGACAGTAGATATTGCCAATAATTCAGTATATGAGAAACAAACTTGTAACAGAATATGAAAAAAATAATGGAATTTTGTGTCTATGGGATGACGTTTGAATAGTCTTTTATTTATAATACTCCTAAAAGTACAAATGATTTGTACGAGTCAAATTTGTATCGATTTTTTTAATTGCAATTTTTTTCATTAAACATTTTGTGTAAAATTAAAAGCTTTCGATTTTTCTTATTTCCTGAACACCCTGTATATCAAAATATAAATTTATCTATGGTAATGAAATTTGATATTTCTCTAAAATTAAAAATTAAAAACAAATTCTTCAGGCAATAATCTGTGGAGATACTGTATATTTTTATGTAACTCGATTTTGTATATTAATATTTTAATTCAGTCCCTTAACTTTTACTATTTTTATTACATATTTGTGATGCAATCATTAAACATTTTTTTAAACACCACATATCCTGATATTTTCAAAAATTAAGGGCACTTGTTCCTAGATATAGAAATTAAAGTAAAAACTTCATACATCTCTATAGCTTTTTATTTTTTTCGCACTTTGAATATACATTATTTTAAATTTATCTGTGGATTATTAAGGGGGAAAAGATAAATAAGTTTTATAAATAAGTAAAATAAGTATCCTTATTTTTTGACATCACAACCACGAAAAGGAACAGAACATGTTAGAAAATGTTAAATTATAAATCAAAAAACCTTTCAATTTTATACACAAATGTGAAAGGTCAAAAATGTAAATTTTTATACAGGGTGTTTACGTTCCCATCATACATAGATCCTTAAGGATGGAAAGGAGGTAGCTCAAATAAAGTTTTGTCAAAAAATATGTAATTTTTTATATAAAAAGGGTGTTGGAACAGAAATATTTAAAATTATGTAAAATTTATTTGACCGCTATGTAAACCAAAAGTATAAAATGTACTCTTTTTAGTTATCGCTAAAATGAATTGTTTCTATCCAACTTTTTTTATATTTAAAAATTATTGAAAACTAACATTCATTTTTTTATTAAAAGGTCTCAAGAATGAAGCTTGCGCGTCACTGGTTTTTTCATTAGTTCTCTCCATGTCAAATTAGAAAAAATTGCTTAAATCATGTCTGGGGAATGCTTGAAAATAAGGTTTATTTTTTCAACGCAAGCTGTATGTTAGTATTTATGCTAGAAGCGATCATGTTTAAGTCAGCTTAAATTTAATAAATAAATAATTTTCAGCAATATTTTCCTTACAATATTACAAATATAGTCGGGTATAAAAAATTACTTCACAGTTTCAAATATCCACTGGTTCAATTCATTTAAAGCAAATTATCAGTTTGTCTTGAACGTGTTGCGGCCTGAAAAAAAGAAAAATTATATACATAGCTGTTTCCTCATAAATCTGATTTAATTTCTCATTTTATATCCAGATTTTGAAGATGACGGCGAAGATGAATCTGATGGTGGTTGGCAGCAGGAACTGCAACGTCGTTATGCTCAGGAAGCAAATTTTATGGCGGAATTACGTGCACGTCATCCTGCCAGTCCTCCAGAAAATAATCAATCAGGTGGTCAAAATTATCCACCTACTTCGTTTGGGCAAAACTTTAATCATAGCGGACAAAATTTTCATATACAAGGAATTCATTATCCTCAAAATCATAGCACAAATCCAGGACCTGGCTTTGTTAATCAGCAACAGAATTATCCTAACTATACTCAAGCTTCAAATCAAAGTCCTTTTGGGCATCAGGTAAATAAATATATTTCTAATGTGTTGACATAGAAAAGCTTTGGCATATTTTTTTCAATGAATATTTTTCAGTCCACTAGATCTGACAAACATTCACATCAGGAGTCTATCAAAAACAACGATATAAGAGAGGAAGATGTTGAAGAGGAAGTGGAAGTCAAAAACAAGGAAACCTTACAATTTGAGGAGGCTTTAAAACAGTGGGTAAATCGATAAGACTAATAATGTATAACAATAAACTTAAAACAATGTGTTTGAAAGTAACCATCAAAAATAATTAACACCTATGTTGTGTTAAATTTATTTTTTAGTCAGTAGAAGAAAATATATAAAAAATTTATAATGAGTTAAAAGAGAAACATTATTTATTGTCTAACTATTTATTCATCGAAAAGAAATCTTTAAAATTACACGTTTTTTTATATATGTCCGAGCGAACTTATAGGATTTATTTGCTGGACTGTGGGTGAAAATAATAAGACTTTCTTTCTTTTCCATGATGCAGAAAAAAATCAAAAGCCAAATGGCAAAAAGAGCATTGGAGAAGCCGTTAATACTACAATTTTTTTTCTTTCTGCATCAATTTTATTATTATTATTATTCAATGGTATTATGTCGTTAATTCCTTGTAAAATTTGCTTTGGGCATTAACATTCCTAAAAAAATTTTGACAAAGCCTTTGGCTAAATGTCGCGATTTACTTAATCTAATTTAAAAATAATTACATTATATTAGAACATAGAAAATAAAACAAACTTGAGAAATCAATAATAAAAATTAATAAGTGAACTGAATATGTTCGAAAATAAACCACATATTTTGTGTTAAAGGCAAGTCCATAATAAAAAAATATATTTTAAATTCAAATGGTAGAACTAATTTGTTAGACGTTACACAGAAACATGTGTATCAAAGCCCAGTAAATGAAATTTGTAATACATGTAAATCAAAAGATAATTCGTTTCAGATTTAAACTTGGTTTAATCGTTAGTTTAAGCAAAAAGAAATAATATTTCCCAAAGGGTATCAGTTTAAAATAACAAGATCATTGTTTAAACAATGATTATAATGTAAAATTTACCAAAAATTGAGTTTTTTAGCTGTATTAAAAAGCGCTCTCCAACAGGAGTTTTTGCTTTTGTTTGTATTTATAGGCTTTCAAAAAACGCTTCATTTGAGACCTGCTAAATAAAAATCCATTAACAATTTGTTTAAATAATTGCAAAAAAATATTTTTCAAAAATATGCGAAAAATTTTTTTTTTACAAAATTAATTATTAATTAATTATTGCAAAATGGATCATGCAGTTGTTATTATTTTCATGCGCTACCCCAAATTAAAAAAAAACGTTCAAATTGGTCCACAATTACCGGAGAAATCCCAAAATTTTCGGGCAGTTAAGATTTGAAGTCTCGGAACGTTTCTATCTTATTTCTCCCACCACATTCCAGGTGTAAAAATGTCTTCGAGGACGTTTTTTAAAGAGTTAAAAATTACTGTAAAATGTATGTTTTTCAATATCTTTAACGATTATTAAGGGGATTTATTCCCGAAATTTCAAGTCTTAATGTTTATAAATAAAAAGTTATGAATTAAAAGAAAACGCTATTTCGGCTAAAAATTGTCCTAGAACGAATATCAAAGCGGCTTTAAAAAATTTTCATTCTTTGCAAAGTTATTAACGAAAAACCTTATAAACAAATTACACTATTTGTTTATACGTCGTTTTGAGGAGGTTAGCCTATGAAATTATAATTTCCAATTGCATATCTTGAAAATATAAGTCAAGACGAAACAAATGAGCCCTCATAAGGCCCTTTATTATAACGCTAACAACCGCGTTTTACAATTGAAAAAATGCTATTTCTAATAAACAAATGCAAAAACTCGTAAAAAAATAAATATTTTTTACCAAATTTTCAGGGTTTCTTAAGCGTAACAAAATAGGTACAACTTTTACTGCAGTTTAGAGACGATTTATGCTCTTTTCTTCTATTTATAGCAAGTTCAAATTTCACTGGTTTTTTGCAATTATTTAAATAAATTGTTAATGGATTTTAATTTAGCAGGTCCCAAATGAAGCATTTTTTGAAAACCTATAAGTATAAACAAAAGCAAAAACTCCTGTTGGAGAGCGCTTTCTAATACAGTTAAAAAACTCCATTTTTGGTAATTTTTACATTATAATCATTGTTTAAACAATGATTTTGTTGTTTTAAACTGACACTTTTTGGGAAATATTATTTCTTTTTGCCTAAACTAACGATTAAACCAAGTTTCAATCTGAAACAAATTTTTTTACAATTTTTTTTTTATTTACTGGGCTATCAATCATGTGAATCATTCAAAGATATTGTAACAAATATGTTTTAATTTAATAACAAATCGGTCAATGTCACATATTCGAAGCATTTTGCAATTTCATAAATCAAAAATTGTATCAAAATATGAACCATACATGTGCGAAAAGGAAGTAGTGCGTCAATTTTTTTTAACCAAAATTACATGAAAAATATATCGGTATAGGACATTTTGCATAAAATTTCAAATGAACATCTTAAAAACAATCTGTTTAACAAATTTATTTAAAATGAAACTGAAATAAGCACCTAAAATAAAAAACATAAGGAAAGTCCTATTATTTTCACTCAACGAATCTGAAGTTAACAGCTCGACCTACTTTTTTCATAACACCCTGCGTCTCAGAACCATTTCGATTTTTTCCCCAGCAATTTGCTAGGATCTTTTTTGCAAAAACTTTTACTTTTACAAAAACCTTTTTTTATATTTTGAACAAATTTAAATTATTAGTTTTCGCAATGCAAAATTCATGTAACAATTGTTTTTGTTGTGGGAAAAGTTACTTAAGTAAGTAAACATAGTTAGGTCACTGTAACCACTATATTTAAAAAGTTGTGTAACTTTATATAAGGAGTTATTTAAAAATATTAGAAAATAGTAGGCTGATAGTGTAAATAATAAATTATGTAAGTAAGTGCTTCTAAAGGTCCCTAAATTTCAAGTGTCAGATAATTTGTGTATAGTACCATCAATAACAATTAGTAAAAAGATGGTTGCTGACTGAAAAACATTGGGGGCCTGATATTTCACACCTAATAGTTCCTTTTTGTATAAAGCATCGGTTTTAATATGTTTGGGTTGAAAATGTATAAATTTTTGTAATTAATTTGTTGGAATGTTTTTAAAATGAATCTAAGTAAAATTAGATAGTGGGAAATGAATGAAGAATACCTATCTATATATTAATTAAAGGGACAAACAAGCATCTATCAAAATGTACAAATATCTCAGAAATATTTACAAACTATTAATGGTCTAATTTTTAAAATGCATAATATTTCCGTACCGTAAAATACATTATGTAGAAAACCATATTTGTTTGTCTCTTTAATATTGCCTCCAATTATAACAACAGATATGTACTTGTATAATTTAGAAGGCTGCCAGAAATCACAAATGACCTTATATTCTAATTGTACAGTATTTGATGTAATACTTATGGTCTTTAAATTTGAATTTCGCTTATTCTAGTTGGACCAACATTATTCTACCTATACCTAAGTAATACGCCTACCTATTTATAATGCATTTAATATTTTTCATAACCCTTTCATAAAAATTACTTAAGTAAACGGTGTACACGTTACGATAAGGATATTGCTGTATGGTAAGTACTGATAATTCATAGATTAGCAAGGGATAGATACTGTGAAATAGGTAGTACATTTTAAACATTTCGTTATTCATTTGTAATATACGCCTATCTCTAATTTAATAAAATGTTTATATTTTTGTTGTGTGCAATTAGTTTTAATAATGACATCCTATTTTAAATTGTTATGGATATTATGTATAAAATACTTCTTTGACTGAAGATTTTAGTAGACATAGGTCAGAATTGTTAAAGTTTTACATGTTACACTGTAGTTCTTGAATAAAGGATATAAATTATGTTTTTTCTTTAAATTAATGATTTAATAATAGTTGTAGTAAGTTGTATGTTCTTTGATGTTCACTACACTTTTTGTGGAAATTGAGGTTTGTCATGGTGGTTCGTATTTTCTAAACAAGCAAAAATATCAAGAATGCTTTTTTCGTATCTTGCAAATTAAGGTATGTTTACTCTTACGCAAAATAACATTTTTGTGTTTTTGATCCACCCTGTACAACAAAATTGAAGTTCATCATGGTGATTCGTATTTTCTAAACAAGTAAAAATTTTTATCAAGATGACTTTTTTGTATCTTTCACTTTTTGGTTCACTTGTCTTCTTGTAAACTCAATCCGCATCAGACATACTGTATATGTATTATTTGGTCTTTTTTCAACTCGGTTACAATTACCCTAGATCAAAGATCTTATTCATTCATAAAAATTAATATATTCACCTATATAATAAAAATAAAATGTGTTCTGCTGCTATCTCGTTTTTTTAAAAACCGAATCGAAGAGTGTTGTAGAATATAGATTAGATTAGATTAGAGTTAGAGAAGTGCAAATGGTTTGTCTATTCCTCGTTCCCTTCCCTTCTCCCTGCTCTTGCTAAGTGAAGAACACTTTGTCTATGGTGGAGAATCAACCTCGACAGACTGACACTATCCCAGGAACCTATCTCCTGGAATCGACAAACACGATACCTGGGCGTGACGATGGACCAGCGTCTCACGTGGAAACCGCACATCGTGGAGACGGTGGCGCGAGCGAAGACCACCAGGGCTAGGCTCTATCCCTTACTCAAAGGTGGAAACACCCTCAGTTTAAGGAATAAGCGAACGCTTATCAAGGTGGTACTTCAACCGCAGCTAACCTACGCCTCCACGGCGTGGGGTCACGCGGCAAAAAGCCACTTAAAGTCATTACAGGCTGTGGAAAACATAGCCCTCCGCACGGCCACCGACGCGCCCTGGTACGTAAGAAACACTGACATATTACGAGACTTACAATACACAAACGCTACACAGACAATAAGACAAAACGCGGAGAAACGATTTGACGTAGCCGCTAGACATGACAATCCCCTCCTCAGGCAAGCCGTTGACTACGTACCCGACGTGACCGACAAACACAAAAGACCTAGACACCAACTTTTTGACCCTGGGTGACCACCCCAATGACCCCCCCCCTGCCCGCTAACCTTTTCTGTTTCAGAGACAGCCAGGATCAAGAAACGAAGACAACGACACACACACACACACACACACATACACACCCCCCATACCCTCCTTAACCCTCCCCTCCCGCGCTAGCCTAAGGGCCACCTTAGCAAAGCGCATCCCAGGCTGCATAGCCGCACTACCCTACCCAACCATACCACACATAAACATGACACTACCCCCGGGGTTTACACAGACGAGCCGGCGAAGCAAGAAGAGCGCCAGAAGAAAGGGCCCTAGCCGGCGGGGCCCAGCCAGGACAAAAGGAGGTCCCACAAAGCGCCTACACCGGCCGCATTTGCGGTCGGGGTAGACGACGGATGGGGCCCACCTACGAAGGCAGTCCAGGCCTACACGAGATGAGGCAGGATAAAGAGGGATAATCCCCCTCGATCCCAAATCATTGAGGCCAATTTCTAGCCATGGAATAATGGCGAGTGGAGAATCGAGTCGAGCTCGAATCGAGTGTCACCGTGTGTTTAGTTCTTTTCGTTTACTTCAAACTAGACGTTGAACGTTGAACAATTGCTGAACTAGTTCACTACAGGGAGCAGCTCATTTGTGCTCGTAACGTCGTAACTAATTCGTTTACGAGAATTGCACACCTCTACTCCGAGTCTCCGAGACCTTAGAATATCTTAACCCTCTGGGTGAAGGCCAAAAAAGAAGAAGAAGGAGAGGCCCGAGACTATAACCTCAAATGATCAAAAACAGATGTAAAATGTTAGGTTAATTTAATATAATTTATTTAAATTTAATATTACAACCACAGCTGAGCCAGAAAGTTTAATTTTAAATAAAATATCAAAAATATGGCGGCCATAAAAAGTAATTGGAAGCCTGTTGAAATAGATAGTTGTGTACTTACAGGAGGCGTAGACGGATTGATTGGAATAGAAGTATGCACAGATTATGATGCAAATAACTTTCAATTTATAAAGGTAAACACTTTTTTATATTAGTTTTAATTTTATAATTTAATTACTTTCAGCGTTCATTTTATTATCGTAATGTTACAGAAAAGTAAACATAAATTATCGAAGAACGATAAAAGTCCTATCAAGAAGAAAAAGAAGAGAGTTAAAGAAACACCTGAGGAAAATTTTAATACACAAGAGGGGAAACAAGACATATTCTCTCCATCTAAATTTGGAAATACATCTCGGATGATCGAAGAAAATTCGGCATCACAATCTGATCAGACAGATTTAAATTTGGAAGCATGGAATAGTTTCAATTTGCCACAGTCACTATTGGATGCTTTAAAGGATATGAACTTTACGCAACCAACTCAAATACAAGCTTTAACTTTACCTGCTGCACTTTTAGGTAAATATCTTTTTAGTAGACAAAATGAATACTGTAACTAGGCGGGTAGCTAGGGGGGAGCAGGAGTGAGCACAGCTCCCCCTAGAGAGCCCGATGCCCACTCCATAAATACTGGTCGGACTAGCTGGCCCTTTAAGAACCACCCCACCCCACCCCACCCTACCTATGTCCATGACTTTAGCCCCAATTAACCATAATTTGATTTGTGTTAGGAAGAAGAGATATATTAGGAGCTGCTGAAACTGGTAGTGGTAAGACTTTGGCTTTTGGGTTACCAATCCTTTCCGGCATATTAAAAGTGAAAGAACAGGCCGAAACATTCGACCAAACAGAACAAGACAGTTCTGATTCAGAAGAATCAGAGTTTGAAATAGATGGAAATGAAATAGATGAAAAAGGTAGGTGATAATCATTTAACAAGTTCAAAATTTTATTAATATCTAAAAAATATGTTGCTACCATTAATTACTTAATATTTTTAGGAATGGGGTGTATTAAATCGGTTAATATTAATGTCAAAGAACAGTCAGTGAAGCCATTATATGCTTTGATTTTAACTCCTACTAGAGAACTAGCAATGCAAATAAAGAATCACTTGACTGTAGTAGCAAAATATACAGGTAACTTTAAAACTAGCAAATATAAGTATTTTTTGATTGTTTTTATTTGCCAAAGTTAAGACGTAAATGTATCATTTTAATTTGGCAGGCATAAATATAACTGTAGTTGTCGGAGGAATGGCTGCCGTTAAACAAGAACGTATCTTATCTAAAGGCCCAGAGATCGTAGTGGCAACACCCGGACGGTTGTGGGAATTAGTACAGCAGGGAAATCCTCACCTGTCACAAATAGATAATATAAGGTAACATTTTAAAGTAGTATGTATATTATTAATTAATTAATGAACGCCATGAAATTGATGTTGCTTTTCAATTATGCCAGAAATTTAGTTTCTCGAGTAACAAACATTACTGGCCATTGAAGGCAACTTGGCTAATTTCAAGCAACAAGTATCTCACTGTGGCACTGTGATGTATGTTTAGTAGTAGTCTCGGTAGTAGTAGTAACTGTTTAGGGAAGTTATATATATCTTAACAAGCAAACAACACATTATTAATGCGGTAATGCAATTGTATGTAAAATCAACACGTGTATATGTTCATCATATTCATTACACATTTTTTATTTGCGCTTAATACGATTAATTACACCAGAAGTGTTAAAAATAAAAAATTGGCAGTGAATTATGACAACTTCTCATTCAGCTCACATGATTCTGCACTAAATATAGAATGTTTTTTGTGTCAGACTGTAGTTTTATGGATAGAGAATCAAATGCAAAGCGTCATATCAGAAGGGCGTATGAACCAAATCTGAAGTTTTACAAGAAATAAAAAAAACGTTTTAGAAATCAAGATTTAGAATGAATTTGTTGATTTTGCCAATATAATAAGACCAATACATTATAGTTCATTGGAGACATTTAACATCCAGTAAAATGCCAACATGTAATTGATTTCCGGCTCATGTGCCCTTCTGATATTAGGATGTTCGAGAAACGTGAATTAAATTTATTTAAATAAGCGTATAGTATACAAATATATGTTTCATTAATACAGTAATTGTATTAATACCAACTAAAATTTGTTACATTTAATTTCGGTGCGTTTTCGTTGTTCTCGTACTTATTGTCGAGACGTCTCGTCATCAAATTCTTCATCATCGGAATTTTGGGAAGTATTTATTACTGACAAAGAAACATAAAAATATTTATATTCTGGAGGAATTACTGCATCTTTGCCTTGGCACATAAATTGTTATACTTTTAATTTATTTATGGAAAGTTTTTCAGAATATAGCGATGTTATAACATTGACCGGGTTTTTAGGACACTTACAAAACACCAAAAACAACACAAACATTCACAAGTTTAACCAAATTTAAGGTTATATGAAATTTACCGAATCAGGTGAGGACGTATAAGCCAATACTGTCTAGCAGGCGTAAAAGAAATACAGAAGTATTAGGAGGGTATGAGCATATGCCTTTCTGATATTATAGTTTTGCAAAATTGGTTCATACGCCTAAGTAAAATGCGTTAGATTAGAGTGTTGATGTTTATGAATATATTACGACCTTCTGATATATTAAGTGAATCGATTAAATGTGGACATATGCCCTAAAAACCCAAAACCGACTATAGTGGCTCTTACGCCCTTCTGATATGACGCCCTCGATATAAAAATTAGAAGGCTAATTTGTCAGAACCATAGAAGAATATTGCATATCTGCAGCTAAATCTTTCAGAAATATTGTTGACACATTTAATTCCGTTCTTTTACTTAATCATTTGTTCACCCAAACATATTTCTTTTCTTTTTATTAAGGTAATCACATAAAATTGAATATTGAAATTACATGACTAACACCAGCACATCCAGCTCTGTTATTTGTAATTTTGGATGGCAACTTTATTTGATTAATTGAAATCCACAATCGTAAGTGTGATTATGTTAAAGCAAGCATATTAAACAAAGCACTTTCATGGCGTGATCAAGTTAAAATGTCCTTTGCACTCAACGTTAAGATGTTGCTATGTCGAAATATTGTCAAAGTAAATTAATAAATTTGTTGTTAGTGACATTTGATGATTCGCAGGTTTTTGGCCATCGATGAGACAGACAGAATGTTGGAAAGAGGACATTTCCAAGAATTGCACGATTTACTAGAACGCATAAATTTTGACGAGATAAAAAAGAAGCAACGGCAAAACTTTGTGTTTTCCGCTACTTTAACGTTAGTGCATGAACTACCAAGACATTTGAAAAATAAAAGTAAACTTACTAAGTCGAAAAAAATCCATGATATGACTCCAGAGCAGAAACTGAAGAAAATAGTTGAAATGTTGGGCATTACGGAACCAAAAGTTGTAGATATAACCCAAGGAACAGGTAAATATGTAGATATACAGGCTATCCCGATTTATAAATGTACAGGTCATAATAACTATAAGTAAATGCAGTTCTAATTTTTTTTATTAAATTGAACCCAAATCTGCTAAGATTATTGTAGGTACAAATTTTCTAAAAAATGTAACTTTTTTTTAATCTAATACCGTAATACCAATTTTTGTAAAGATGTCATATTTTAATTTTTCATATAAATTTAAAAATGTAATCTATACTCTGCGGTAGAAATTATAGAGAGTGACTCATTGCTAGCTTTTGATCTAGTAAGGGGGATGAAGCGTGCCGGGAACGAAAATCCATTGGCGTGTCTGCGTAAAAGGCAACAAGATATAGAAAATATTGAAAAAAGATAATAAAACATAACATCTAATATTTTTTTACGGTTTGCTATAACCGGCACTTTGATCCATTTTAATTATTACAGCATTTTAAAACGTCCTTGTTGTGTTTTTTTAATTTATAAGTTTATTATAGCCATGGAATTAGACCCCTCATCTACGCTTATGCTATGACGTTTCTCAGGACGGATAAATCAAGTCCGTTTACACCCAATAAAAAAAAATTTCCCTATTCCCTACCAAGTGCAAAAGACAGATAGAATATAGATCGACGTTCAGTGTATAGACGATTATAGAGTCTGTCGATGTGCGTAACGAGCGGCACAAAGATAAATAATATTGAACCGTATTAAAATCATTTTATATTTTATACGCATTATGGTAATAGTGTTTTTATATTATGTCTGAATCACTCTCTATAATTTCGACCGCGAAGTATAGTATATTTTCATTGTTTTAAATTATTTTTTAACCTATTTAATTTTTTTCCTATTAAAGTCGAAATATAGGGAAATTTGTACTTTTGCCCACTGTTTAAACTAGTTTTTGTACAATTAAGAAGAGAACGCATTAGGCGATCGCGGTCTCGTGGCATTGCGGTCCGTTCTGGGCTAAGCTGAGCACTGTCTTTTCCAAAATTAGTCGCATTTGGCAATCGTACACAATCCTGCTTGTGCTCTTCTTTAAATAGTTGAGGTATTATTTTAGTAGTTAAAAAAATTAGTTATATGGAAGAGGAAACTCATCTCGATCACATCGCGGTCTCCTCCTTTAGCGTCTAATTATTAAAATAAAAAATCACTTTTGACCAAACCAAGAAGTGTAGATTAATGTCGTATGTTAGATTTATATGAGAAAATATTATATTTGAATGAAGAAATATTTGGTCTGATTTTAAAAATCAAAAGGTTTGTGTTAATGGCTCTAAAAACTGACAACTTTTTCAACGTCTACCATGTTACACCCAATTATTATTTTTAAATTTTTAATTAGAGTAATATACTGGGTGGGCCATTTACCATGAGACAAAATAATATCTTGGTTGCACTCGATTATTTCGAAAATAGTTTCAGACAAAAATTGTAGGGCACTGAGGGTGCCATTGAAAGGTCCATATTATGACTTGTTCTTATTAGAATTTTGAGACAGCGGATTACTTTGTTGGGATCATTTTTTTTAAAATGTTTCATACAAAAGTCGTAGGATGAAAAGAGGGCCCTCTTGGCATGACCTTGACCTTGATTTCAAGGTCGTTTAAAGATCAAATTCAAAATTTTAATTCATTGCCAATGTTTCGGTGTTATTTTACACCATCCTCAGGGCTCGAAATTTGAAGTATCTTTTATCCAACTTAACAGTTCTAAATATTAAGAAGATGGCATCTAGATACTTATATGTGTATTTATAATTCATGGAACAATTTCAATGCGGTTTTCTTTCACAGTAAAAATTGTTGTAACGTCTTAGGTACTGTTCAGCAGAATGACCATTCATTCATTTAGTTTTACAATAAGATATAAATTGAGGTGCTTGTTTTCGGTAAGTCCCATCACCTCTCACCATTTTCAAGGTCATGTCAAGATAGCCCCCTTTTCACCCTAGAATTTTTGTATGAAACATTTAAACAAAAAGTGCTCCCAGCAAGGTACTCCGTTGTCTCAAGATTCTTGGTTTTTTTTTTGTTTTTTATACCCAAAATATGGGTTAAAACGAAAAAATAATAAGAACAAAAAGTTTTTTTTTCGTTCGTTAATTGAAATCTGTTGTAAAAAATTGGGTGTTTCCATTAAAAAAAATCAACTTCCGGTCTAAAACACAACATCCGGTTTAGACCAGAAGTGGGTCTTTCAATGGCCCCATCGGTGCCCTACAATTTTTGTCTGAAACTTTTTTTTGAAATAATCGAGTCCAACCGAGATATTATTTTGTCTCAAGATAAATGTCCCGCCCGGTATATATATTTTTTTACGTATTTTGATAAGAAATTTTTTCCAAATCTGATAATACACAATGACTTAATTTTTGTGTAATATTTGTATACGTATGCAAAAATACTTGTTATTAATTTGAGCACTTCAACGAAGTCTTGAAATGTGCCGTGAAAACAATCAAATCGTTATAGAGATAAACGTCAGATCAAGTAGAAAATATTATCGTTCTATTCAATAAAAATTGGCAGTCATATGTCATTAAGGTAGAAGTTGTAACAAAAAATATTACTAAATATCAGTTTATAGTATTTTTAAAGCCATTAACGCTAATCTTTTATTTTTCAAAATAGAACCAAAAATAGAGGAATTGAAGTCTGGCATTTTCTACAAGGCACCCAGTATAAAAAATATAATTTCGTTATTATAAATAGGAACATCGGGAACTCTCACCGAATGTAAAATAACGTGTGGGATAGAAGAAAAGGATTATTATGTCTACTACTTTCTAAAGAGACATCCCGGAAGAACCTTAATATTTTGTAATTCGATTGGTTGTGTAAAAAGACTATCCACGTTATTAACTTTATTAGAGTGTCACCCTTTGCCTCTCCATGCCTCTATGCAACAAAGGCAAAGACTCAAAAATCTCGAAAGGTAACCGCTTGTTCTGTTTTATTAAAAAAATGATTATCAATGTAATTATTATTACGAACAGGTTTAGAGACACTGAAGACTCGATACTTGTGGCTACGGATGTAGCAGCACGAGGATTAGACATTCCTTTCGTTGAAAATGTTTTGCATTATCAGACACCAAGAACAAGCGAAAGTTATGTTCACCGATCGGGAAGGACAGCTAGAGCGTCTCGACAAGGGATCACAATTCTACTGATTGAACCGAACGAAGTACAGAGTTACTTACGGCTATGCAAAACTTTACAAAAAGGTAAGTATCTTTGGAACCTTGAAATGACGGCCTTTTCATAATGTACTTTAAAGATGAGGATTTGCCAACGTTTCCGATACAAGATCAATATCTAAAGGCAGTTAAAGATAGAGTTAATTTAGCTAGGGAATTGGATAAATTGCAGTTGCAAGTCAGAAAGGCTAATTCTGAAGCTGGATGGTTCCAGAAAGCTGCAGAGGAAATGGATATCATTGTTGATGATTCGTATCCTTTATCATAATGCATCAATGTTGTATTACTAAGTATAAATTGTCTAAATAGAGGTTGTAAACTACAATGTGTCAGAAATGAGGGACCGTTTTCCTCTTCCGAGTTTAAGAATATTTTACTTTTAACTAGGGGTATTTTTGAATAGGGGTCATATTTATACCAAAAATACCTTTGACATTTAAAAACTTGTCAAACATATTTAAACATAACATATTTAATCCGAACATTAAACATATTCGAGGAGAAAAATTTATGTTTCTTTTTTCAAATTTTTAGTTTTTTGTAGTTTTTTTCATACCTCGCCACTGGACAGACTAATGTGAGCTTAAACAACGACATGCGATAGCTGCTAGTGATTACCCCATTAGGTATAAACTCTTAAATAAATCTCATCTTTTTTCATTCATGAATAATATACAGGGTGGGCCATTGGAAACTTTCCACCCCAATTTTTTTGGTTTAAAAAAAAAACTTGGGAAAACCCTTGGACACGTTGACTTTTGATTTGAGGGGGAACTATTTTTCAGTTTTTTTCATCCCCGTAGCTTTAACCCCCTAGCTGGGGAGAGAAGAACCCCCAAATTTGAATAGGGGATAGGGGTCGTGCCATACCTTTTTAAAGGTCTCATCGAGTTCTTTATGACCCTACAATTTTGCCTCATTATTTTTATCTGTAACGAAATGACAGTTCGTCAAAATAAAAATAAATAAAAATACTTACTAATTTATTAGTTAGATCTACACGTGAACTTTATCTAACAAATTGTTCAAAATGTCCCCCATTAACATCCATGCAATAATAAAATCGATTCTCTATCTCTTCTCTAACATTCTGCAACATATCGGCAGTTATCCTATGACAATTCCTCAACGAAAATTTTAGAGGTCATTGGATTGGCCGTAGGGGATCTATTGAGTGGCCTGCAAGGTACCCTGATCTTTCCTGTCTAGACTTCTTTCTCTGGGGCCATTTGATGTCTACATTTTATAAAACACACCCAGCTTCTCTTCAAGTTCTGCAAGGACGCATAACTGTAGAATGTCAAAGGATAACTGCCGATATGTTGCAGAATGTTAGAGAAGAGATAGAGAATCGATTTTATTATTGCATGGATGTTAATGACGGACATTTTGAACAGTTTGTTAGATAAAGTTCACGTGTAGACTTGATTAATAAATTAGTAAGTATTTTTTGTTTATTTGTTTATTTTTATTTTGACAGGCTGTCATTTTGTTATGGATAAAAATAATGAGGCGAAATTGTAGGGTCATAAAGAACTCAACGAGACGTTTAATAAGAGGTATGTTGTTCTCTCCCCAGCTAGGGGGTTAAAGCTACGGGTATGAAAAAAACTGAAAAATAGTTCCCCCTCAAATCAAAAGTTGATGTGCCTGAACGTTTTCCTGGATTTTTATTTTAAACTAAAAAAACCGGGGTGGAAAGTTTCAATCGGCCCATTGGTCTGGATATTAAACCGAAAAACGAAGACAGCAAGTTTTAGGGGTGATTTCATATCGATACGACATAAATCATTTTATCCAAAAATTCTTCCTAAGGGAGGTAGTGCTCTTTGAAGATGGCTCTTTGACATTGGTTTTTTTTAATTGTTCCGATCGCTGTTTATCTAGAAGGATCAAACTTAGTTATCTCACACAGAAAGTCGCAAAATTACCTACCTCCTGTGTTACATCTCATAAATTTATAAACTCTAAACTAAAATAAAGGTAATAAAATAAAGCTGTGGTATATTCAGCCATCCTCGTTTTGCCAGATTAGTGTTGGATATTTGTTTTTTGCCCATCTAGTGTGCTGTTGTCATATCACATCAGGTGGATTGATATTATGTAGTTCACCTAAACTAGGGTAATAGTCATGGTGAGATTCACAAACTAAACACAATGCTTTGTATGTATAATAATACATGAATATAATTACATCCAACATGGAAAAAATAAATATCAATTCATTCCCGGGAGCATAGCTGTGTCAGTTACACTTTTATTAGAAAATTGTGGCACATCACTGAAAAAACAAATTTTTGTCATTTTTTAACGAAAGTGATCTCTTGATTTTTTGGTGTAGCTTTTACCGTTTTGATATAAATTAGTATTTCAAAAAGATATGTTGTGATCAATTTGAAATTATACAGGATATTACACATGTCAAAAGTGAAGAAACGTTTTCCTAGCACAGATTTAGGGATATTTTCTTGTAAAGCCCTCGTTTTGCAATACAGAGTGTTAAAGTTTTCAAAAAGAAAAGGTATCAAGACATTGATCAAAAGATAAACATTTTTAAGATAGTAAAAGATGCATCTAAAAATGTATTGAAGTAGAGAAATGCCTTTTTGTACAAATTTTGTAAAATCATTTAAATCTGCATTTATCTAAATATCTTAAAATCACTAATTTGTACCAAATTGGTAAATGTCGTGAAAAAAGCCAACAAATTTTTTTCATTAAATAAAAAATTGAATTTGGAATAAAAAAATCCAATGACATATGAGACCATTTCAGGAAAATGTAACAATATACTTTAAATCTGCGTCACCGGTTTCACTTGATACTTATTTTTTTCTCGTTCAATGCCATTATACATGGCTGGAAAATCCACATGGTCCATCTGCATTTACATGAGAGCGACAAAGTAAAGTAAAGAAATCCATGCGATAGAAAAGGATGGCTATAGTGATGATGTTTCATAATCTGAATAGTCACCGCCCGTTTTAGGTTAGAAGTGGGAGTGACTATTATTCAGTTTATGAAACGTCTTCAATATAGCCATCCTTGTCTATCGCACGGATTTCTTTACTTTACTTTGTCGCTCTCATGTAAAGGCAGATGGACCATGTGGATTTTCCAGTTGTGTATATATCTAATTTACACAATCAAAAAAAGTTCACAAATTAATTCATAAATTAGAAGTTGAGATATTTATTGAAAATATTACTACAAAGTCAAACTTTTTAATGTAATTACTCAGTAGGGCCAAATTTGAACATTAATATTTACTTATAAATTATAATTTTAATAAATGGGGTTTATTATGTATATTTTTACTACAGTTCTTTATCTTCTGCTTGTTTTACGACAAGAATGAGATTGGGAGTGATAAGGAAAAATCGCCCAAAAATCAAAACCAATTTAAATGAGGTTTAATGGTTTTTATTTTTGAGTATCGTATTTACAAATATATAACCAATGATTTTTATAACAGTATTATATCTATATTAAAATATAAGTAGAGATTACAGCTAGTTCTATTCTTACATTGAAGACAATTTTATGTATTACACATAACAATTAATGCAAGGTCAAAAAATTTATCAGTTTGTGTAAAATTGCTATAAGAAATATTTGTGATGAGAATTATTATTTAAAAATTGTAAAATCTAAAAAGATTCTAAATGTACAGTTGTTTTTTTAATTTGATTTTATTTAAAAAAAATATATTCACTAGAAAAATAAGAAGTTTGAGATTACATTTCAAATGATCTTTTGTAAATATGTACATACACGAGTACAAACATATAACTCATCTATTTACATGTTTGAACTTAAAAATGTTACCTGTCTTGATAAGATATGTGGAAAATCATTTTTATTATTAAAAAACGCTTGGAAGATTAACTTGTGGCACACATTTTTTTATGTTATACAAGAGTTCTATGACGATAGAATTTGCAGTTAAGTAAAATTGTGAAATACCTATATAAATGTTGAATTTGTCTAAAAGAGCATAAATTACTATTATTTTATTCTCGTATTGAACACACAAAATTTCCTTTTAAAAAATATATTATTAACTATCATATTTTTACATTACTAATATACATAAATTCAAAAATTTTTTCCTAAAAACGTTATAAGATTTATTTTGATTTTAATCAGCTTAATACCTTTATAATAATGTAAATAATATACGGGTGCTAATAATAGAATATACTTACGTTTTAAATGAAAATAAAGAGTAAATATTAGTCGCATTAATCTAGTTACAAATATTTTTTTGAAACTATCGTTTCAGATTGTAATTTTTTTTAAAAGTATATTTTTACAGTGCTATTTTTAAAACTTGACATAGGCCAACTTTTTTATTTGAAAACTAGTAACTTCCAAATGCAAAGTTGTAGGAAATAACTTGACTAAGAAAAATTTACAAATAATTCTTTCCGGTGTTGCCAGATTTCTGCAGTAGCTACTAAAACGATATTTTTTTAAATGGCAACACCATATTTTTTTTTAACATAATTTGACAAACCTTCAAATTCTAAATAGAAAATGTTATGTCACATTTCTTTGTTGGAGCATCCGTTTTAGAACAATCAGTAAAAACAACGAAAATAATCTGTAGTCGGCAGAAACTAAAAGAAGCTAACATAGTAATAGTAGGTCTTGGAAATTAAACAAAAATTGTATTGTTTGAAAGGAGCTACCATTATTGTGCTGTCATTGTGTTATTTGACAGCTGTTTATTTGAATGTGTATAAAAATAACGTTTTAATTCAGTTGCTAAGATGATTTTGATCATTTTGCGGATCCTTGGGCATACTCTACCAGTTGTTTTTAGTTTCATTAAGTTACATCTTAAAAACTCCGGATTTGGAAGAGGCTTATCGGGATGTCTTGCATGGAATTCAGCGCACGCATTGCATAAACTTAAGCCACCAACATGAAGGGAAATTCATTCAACTTTCTCTTGAGGCTTAAATAATTTAGCAATTGAATTAAAACATTATTTTTTATACACATTCAAATATAACAGCTGTTAAATAACACAATAATAAGTACAATTATGATGGCTCCTTTAAAATAGCTCAATTTTTGTTTAATTTCTAAGACCTCCTATGCTATGTTACCTTCTTTTAGTTCCTGCCGATTACAGATTATTTTCGTTGTTTTTGCTGATTGTTCTAAAACAACTAGTCCAATAAAGAAATGTGACATAACAGTTATTATGTTAAAAAAATAAGGTGTTGCTTTTAAAAAAAATATTGTTTTAGCAGCTACTGCAGAAATCTGGCAACACCGGAGAGAATTATTTGTAAATTTCTCTTAATCAAGTTATTTCCTATAACTTTGCATTCGGAAGTAGGTACTTTTGGAAGTCTATCATTTCAAATAAAAAAGTTGGCCTATGTCAGGTTTTAAAAAATAGCACTGTATATAATTTTGTTCCACTAATTTTATTAACGCCATTTCCAAGGAGACTACCTGGTGAAAGCAAAATGTTGAACCAAGAAAATATTTATATGTACATCATTTTTAGTTTTATTTTGGATAATTATTTATTACCAGGTATTTACTAGATATTGCTGGTGTAATTCAATGCTAGTTCTAGTAGTTGTTTCCCGCAATATCAACAGTTAGGAATATTATCTGTGAGGTTAGATATTTTTCGCATACTTAGATTTCTGGTATCGAAATACATTGTCTTCACTTGATAAAATAAAAATATTTGAATTTATTTGATTTAGCTTAATACCTAATCTTAAATTTGGTTGAAGAAAACTTTCCTTCATTTTAGACACAGTGTAGTATTACGCTCTATATTGATCAAGTTTTTCCTTAATTTATCATTTAGTGCGAGAAAATATGATACCAAAGAAGCTGAGCAGGGCAAAAAGTTAGCTGATTTGAAAAGGAAACAATTAATATCTCTTTTAGCGACACCGATATTTCCAAAGGGATTCAGCGGGAAGTATCCATTATTGTCAGAAGAGTTACCGAACATATTTACCCGCAATGAATTTAGAGAAGAAAAGGCCATAGATGCCATGAAAAATGCCATAGAGATAAACGCGAAGGAGAAAAAGAGAACTGTGCCTTTGTACAAACAAAAAAAGGGAGCCGCTGTTAAAAGAAGTAATGCTGTAACTATAAAGTTGTCCAAAAATGTGAAAGGTAAAGATGAGTTGAAGAAGTCGAGGTTTAGAAAAAAAGGCAGGAGGAAGTCTCATTAAATATTTAGCTCAGTTTAATACTAAAACATATTTCTTATTGAATAACAAATTGTTTTGTATTTCTAAATGCAAATTTTGTGTTAATTTTTTTTTTCAAATAAAAATTTAAAAAAAATCTTGTTAATTGTGTTGTTTATTATATCAACCTATATCTTGAACCAAATATTAAAAAAGGCAATAAAAATTTGTATGGAGGACAATGTTCTATATTTTTTTATAAGAATTATACAGGGTGTCCCTCATGGCTTGGCCTACTACGTTTTTTAAATCTTAACACAAATTCAATTAAAAATTAATTTTGTAAGAGAAAGTATAAGTTGGTACAGGAATTCATTTGTTTTCCACTTACTGTGTACGTTTAAATCCGGGTATTCTCTAATGTATTTGATTGTGATAGTCTGACATTTCTGTGTGAAGTCAGTGGCATTACCAAGAAATAAACATAAAAATTATGCCAAAATAAAATTACCCAGTATGGAAGCTGTAAGAATCAATTTATTTTATACAATTGACTTTCAATATGCAGGGTCAGTAGGGTCATGGCCCAGGGGACCTTCAAGAGTGTCGGCCACCAACTTTCAGTAGTGTACACTCTTATGTATTCATTAACTTCATTTGTGCCTGCATTCTCCGCCTGGTATAATGTTAAGTAATAATTAAAAAAATAATAATGGGGCCATTTAGAATTAATTACAATTTTAAAACAATCGACTGAACAAATTAAGCAATTATGGAAAATTAACAAGAAATGACAATGTTACGGAAATTCAAGTCAACTGAAATGGGGATAAATCAATTTACATGAAACAAAATTTGCATGGTACTTATAAAGTATTTATCTCAATGAACAAAAATTTTTTAACAAAAAAACTGATTGAATGATTTATATTTTCTGACCCTCTTCTTTTCTTCCCTCTTGCTTGTGCTGTAACAGTTTTCAAAATACTCATTGGTGTCACTGTTTTGAATTAATTGTAGCAATTGTTCAAGTTTCATCAGTCTTAAGTCAATGAAACATTTTTTTGTTAATTTTAACACCCTGTATCTCAAAAATCAGTTTCTGTAGACCCTAAGCTCAAAAAATTTTTGGTATAAAATGAGCCAAAGAATAACAATCTTCTGAAGTTGACATAGACTTATTAAAAAACATCCTGTATATATGCACACCCTTACATATATAATTTATTTGTCTGTGTGGTGCTGCAAATATTAAAAGAGACCCAAAACATTTTCCTAATTTGTGAAGAAAACTCCAGAACTGGTTTTGGTCAGGAGCGTCACTATTTCTTAATACGTTCCTGTATCGTCCGTTCACCACATACTTCTATCCTCATCCTCATCTATAGAAGTATGTGCCGTTCACACGTTAGGACTGTTGGGTATTGGTATTATTCATTAAAAATTAATCCATTTTTCTATTTTAAAAGTCTGAAAACCACTATAAAATTGAGTTATTGGTTATTGGGCATTTGTAATATAATATAAAGATCTAAGTGTCTCAGTGCCTATACCCTAACAAAACTAAGTAGATGTAGGGTAGGTATGCTTGTTTTTAATGTTTCCAGTAGCTAGGGACTGGGGTTTGAAATTATTACTTGATCATATAGTTGACAGTATAGTATAAAGGTAAGTTAAGCAATAATAATAAATGTTGTCATTGAATGTTTCTGACGGTTTGGCACCAGCTTGCGACTGCTGCCAAAACGTACTTACGTATCTTATCCATTATTTTCAAAATGTTTCGAACGCTTCAGAAGCTAGGGGGTTAGTATTTTCATTTTTCATAAATAAATTTTTATCTGATGTAGAGTGAAGAGTACATGTATGTATGTACAACGTGGTAGCAAGAAGCATGCTAGTTTTATTGCGCGCGCAACCGGTTCGTACTACCGGTGCAGCGGAATGTCTAATTGAATAAAATTTACAAATGTGATGTGTTGCGCTGTTTCGCGGCAGTCTGGTAGTTTCTATAGGACGAATATATTCGCAGGAATCGATCTATGTACGTGTAACACGGTATTTAATAGAAATCGAGATTTTATAGTTCTGCTTTGACCGAAACTGAATAATAGTTGTGAGTGAAGACTTTTTTAATTCAATAGAAGTGTCGGTTGCATCCTACACTTGAAATATACCTAAGTACCTACTTTTTTTTAGATTTACTAAATTTCAGCTCCCGGTTGTTTTCGAGGGTGAGTGTCGATGTTTTATTTTTTATTTACACTAATGTTTTCAAAAGAGGGTGTGTATCGATTAATACTATGCCCTACCTTTTTATGTTTTGTTAGGTTAACTCTGTAAAATTACAGCTGCATAAATTTTAACATTCTACATTTTTAAACTATAATCTGCAATTGTAAATATTCAATGCATTTTGTAAGGTATTTTATCATTTCTATGGTTCTCAGGAGCCATAGTCAAACTCTTCTACATAAAGCAACATGATAGTAGTCTCTTTGCGTAGGTGTAGGTACGTAAAATATTATTTCTCTCCCTATTCGTGTTTTCAGTTGTAATTACATGGACAGGATAAGTACTTAGTATTATAGTTGCAAAAATAATTTATTGTATAGCTATGTACCTGATGTGGTATAGTAATTGTAATTGTAAACATTCTCTTAACTAGTCAATTACGGTAGAAAAAAAGGTATTTCTTTATTTATAGCAGTGTGATTCGTTTGGAAATTAAGTGTCCTATTAAGTAGGTGAAGGTGTTATTTTCCTAGAACCTAGAATGAATCCGTTAATTCTACCATGCCACCTTTGCTCCCTCATTCATTGCCAAATATTTATTTACTACTTTATCAGATACGTACCGTAAATCATATGCCGAATTAAATTATTTAATATCAGAGATAAAATGTGTATTGTTTGTGCAAATGCCTCGCTATCAATTGTTACATAGCGTTTAGCACGCACGCTGTTAGAGAACGAAGCAAAAGAATCGATTTTCATATTTAAATTTTTTATATTTTGCAGTACTATTCAAAAATTTATAAAATGAAATAGGTACGGAACTAGAATTCAAAATTAAAAAAAAAACATTTCATTTAATGTTAATTCTACGACATTGACTTGATCGTACACACTTGTCTTGAACGATAAAGAATAATATGCAGGGTGATTCCGAGGTAATGGGCCAAAATTCATTTAGCCGAACTTACCTTAGTACAAAAATTGATAGTTAAAGAGATACAGGGTGTTAAATGAAAAATATTATTTTAGTTTATTTCCATTTATTTCTTAATAAATGCAAATTTCTGCACAAAATTTTGGGGTTTGGGGTTCTTTGAGTAGAGGAATTGAAATTTGTTTATATTTTGGTTATACTTCATAGAGGGCGCTAGCTGCCGTAGATTAAATGTGTTGAAAACGACATAACTTTTTTGTAGGTACTTCAAGGTATCTTATCTTTGGTATCAAATTCTTATTTTCAAATATTTTTTACACAAAAAAGGTAAAATTAGCTGTCTCGCACCGTTTCCGACATATTTGGCTTTGCAACTTCCAATGCTAATAGTTGAAATAATTAAAATAATTTAGAAATGTCAAAAACAAGGGTTTATTTAGAATTAAAATTGTAATGAACAGTAAAATAGTAAACATTAGTAAAAATATGTCTTTTTGATAATAATTACTCAAAATGTCCACCTCTACATACATCAATACATTTATTAAAAGATTGTCTAATTTTAAAGTATAAATCCTTAACGCGAAATGACTTTGCAGCATTTAAAACCTGCTGCTAAAGTTCTTCTCAAGTGTTTATAGTTTCTCCATAAACAACTGATTTCATGTAACTCCAAAAACGAAAACCTCGGCATTCTATCTCACATTTATGTATACGAGTATACAATTTAATTTGTAAGCTAAGATGTAATTTTAATTAGATACGAATAATACTTAATAGAAATTAGCATACAAATGACAGCAATAAGACAAGTGGAAGACGTCAATTATTTGATTTTCGTCCAAATCCTACTTAAGAAACTTTACCGCTAAATTAATAATACCTGTAGGTACTTAATTGTAATTTAATGCAACAGCATTGGAAGTTTCAAAGCCAAATATCTCGAAAACGGTGCGAGATAGCTACTTTAATAAAGTATACCTTTTTTGTGTAAAAAAAGTTGAAAAATAAGAATTTGTTACCAAAGATGAGATACCTTAAAGTACAAAAAAGTTATGTCGTTTTTAACACATTCAATCTACTGCAGCTAGCGCCCTCTATGAACTTTAACCAAAATGTGAACAGATTTCAATTCCTCTACTCAAAGAACTCCAATCCCCAAAATTTTGTGAGGATATTTGCATTTGTTAAGGAATAAATTAAAAAAAAACTGAAATAATATTTTACATTTAACACCCTGTATCTCTTTAGCTATCAACTTTTGGACTAAGGTAAGTTCGGCTAAATCGCAATATTTTTGCTTGGGAAATCTACTCATGAATTTTGGCACATTACCTCGGGACCACCCTGTATATTATTGATGTAGTTTGTCAAGTAATTTTGAATTTAACAAACTCTCATAAATTTAATGCATCGACTTAATTAATACTGATCAAGTACCTATTTTGCCATAAGATAATAGTAAAGGAATAGTTTCAAGTACATGTCCATTAAAATGTTTCTATTTTTTATCAATTTAGATTATTTTGATATTACAAGATAACAATCTGTTTAGATTCTGTTATTGCGAAATCGTCCCAGGTTATCTTTTTATCGCTCGTTTCATCGTTTATGCGTATAGTTGTGATAGTTCAATAATTATATGTTTACTAGTTTTGAGCGATTAAATACCAGTTGAAAACACATCTAAAAGTTGATTAACACTAGCTGAAAACACGCCAAGAACTTTGAGAAGCTGTAAGTATTTTGAATGTTTTATCGAAAAGAAAAAATGTTATTTTACATCTTCGTAAATTTCTTTAAACTATGTCGTCAATAGTAATAGAGTAAAAAATACTATTATTTAAAATTAGATTAACACGTAATACCTACATTTTATCAAACCATATTAATAAAATGGGTTTGTATCAGTTAATTACTTTGCAACTTCGGGTATCCCTCAGGACTCAAAACTTGGGCCTTTATTATTTTTCCTGTTAAAGACATTTGTCAAGTAGTTGATTGCAATAAACTATTATTTGCTGACGATATGATAATTTTTACACGAGTCTTTACATCTATTTGTTACATAGTGGTTAATGTTACAGAAATCTTTAACCAATTTGTAGGTTTGGTGTTCTAGAAACAAATTGTACCTTATATATCCAAATCCATTCAAATCCAAGAAATCTAAATATATCCAAATGTAATATTATATCTTATTTAGAAAAAAATGTCGTATTATTTTCGAATACCTATATACATATATGTATTATTACTAACACTTCCCGCTATGAAAGCGTCACAGACCTTGGTGTTCTTTTTGACTGTGGTGTAGTCGTTTTTATTTAATAAAATAAATAGAACAGCAAAATCGTGGGGCTTCATTTTAAGTAATTGTGGAAATTTTAGTAACATTAAAGTTTTAATAACATATACTTCTCACTTCTCGTTTGTTAGGTCCATGGTTCGATGTGTTGGGAAAAAATCCAGGGGGCCACGTAGCCCCCTCCCCCTTAAGCCGGGTCTGATTGGAATCCATATCATCATATTTTTTTAAATTTTTGTTCCCCAAAGAAGTTGGAACTTATCAATCAGAAATACATTCACAGTATTTAACGTTACTAACAAGATTAAATGTTATCAGTTTTGACCTAAGGAGAAAATGTTCTTCACTGCCTTTTCTATGCAAATTGTTACATAATGACATCGATTGCTTCGTTTTTTCTTAACATTCCAAGAACAAATTTTTGTAGACCTATCATATTTATACAAAATTTTTGCTCTCAATATTCCACCATTTTTTGTCTTTTTCAATTTTCANATTAATAAAATGGGTTTGTATCAGTTAATTACTTTGCAACTTCGGGTATCCCTCAGGACTCAAAACTTGGGCCTTTATTATTTTTCCTGTTTGTTAAATACATTTGTCAAGTAGTTGATTGCAATAATTTGCTGATGATATGATCATTTTTACACGAGTTTTTACATCTATTTGTTACATAGGTGATTAATGTTACAGACATTTTTAACCAATTTGTAGATTTGGTGTTCTAGAAACAAATTGTTCCTTGCTTCAGGAGGAGATGTACATACTTCAGTATGTTATTCTATGTTCAATTTTAAGTAAAAAATTTCCTATGAATTTAGATCTGGAAACGCTTCGTTAATGATATACAGGATGACAAATTTAAAAAAATTAATTACAATTCTTTAATAACTTTCGACTACTTTGAGTTAAATTCATGAAATTTTGTATGCGGAGGTTTCTTGGGACGGGAAATTCAAATTTTATGGACGATTGGCTGTAACTCCCAGAGGGCGCCATAAGCGACCTTTTAAATCGCTTCAACTTTTTTGTGCCACGGTGTATGTCATTTCGGAATAGAAAAACATTTTCCCCTATCTTTTCTACGTAAGAAATGTACATTTTATTGAAGTCTCTATGCAAATTATGTATTACAGTGCTAATTATGTATCAACTTCGTCAGTAAAAAGCCTCATTGGAACTAGTTGAAGATTAGCGTTGATCTAGTCACAAAATTTTTGTGAGAATTGCAAAAATAAAATCTCTAAACAAAATGTACAAAACCTGACAACAATAACTTTCGATTCACTCTAACTCTAGCCGGGTCTGATTGGAATCCACATCATCATATTTTTTTAAATTTTTGTTCCCCAAAGAAGTTGGAACTTATCAATCAGAAATACATTCACAGTATTTAACGTTACTAACAAGATTAAATGTTATCAGTTTTGGCCTAAGGAGAAAATGTTCTTCACTGCCTTTTCTATGCAAATTGTTACNCTTCAGGACTCAAAACTTGGGCCTTTATTATTTTTCCTGTTAAAGACATTTGTCAAGTAGTTGATTGCAATAAACTATTATTTGCTGACGATATGATAATTTTTACACGAGTCTTTACATCTATTTGTTACATAGTGGTTAATGTTACAGAAATCTTTAACCAATTTGTAGGTTTGGTGTTCTAGAAACAAATTGTACCTTATATATCCAAATCCATTCAAATCCAAGAAATCTAAATATATCCAAATGTAATATTATATCTTATTTAGAAAAAA